TACAAAATTCGAGTAGTACCTGTACAACGAATCGGTCAGTTTGACAAAGTATTTCCATTGATAGATAAAATACAGTATCAATTTGAGTTGATAAGCGCCAAGAATGCTATCAGCAAAGGTAGTTTAATAAAAAATATTCTAAATGACTTCGGGTGATGACCTCCGATCACAATAATTTTTTCGAATAAAAAAAAAATGTGAGTTGGGTACACAGTGTGTCAAATAGCAAGTTTTTACAAATCGGAGATATGAAAAAGAGTGATATTAACACAAAAGAAAACGGGTGTGTGATTTCTATACTTGACATTCTGCCAAAGTGGAGCATGTACACGTACAGTAAATGGCTTTGAAAGCGCTTGCAAAAATACACTCCAATTATTTGGAGCGTTCCGAGTCAAGAAAATGGCAAAAATGGGTAGTAAGTAGTACGTGGAGAATCCTGATATTTTATTCATACAGCAATTCTAGAGCAGCTTCTTTTTTGAAAGGCCATCTTTTGTAAGGGTGCCAGTGCCATAAATATTGTATCAGGCCAACATTACAGTGCCAAGTGGAGCTGACACACATTTTAACTGTGAACCAGGGCGGGTAACTAATGAAATTGAGAATCGCATGGATCCGTTCATACATTTTTACACACTTTAATTGCGTCCTCTAAATAAATCACTATTTGATGTCAAATTTTAAATCCATGAAAATTTAGTAGCAATCAAACGACAATGAGATAAAGATAAAGAACGAAAAGAGAAATTAATTGTTAAAAATAAAAATCGCTGCACGCTGAATATGTGCGCTTGACTTCTGTGATTGCACTGAATTATTTATTTAATCGTTGAGAAATGGGGCAAAACTATACCAAATTTAGATTTCAATTAGAGGTCATGGAGCAGTTGCATCCACATCGTCACGTCGCACCATTGTCATTGAGAGTTTGCTTATGTAATTCGTGCAATCGCTTTGTACCGTTAATGAAAGTCTTAACGCCAATGGCACTTTTTCAATTTTAATGGATTCTTGCTTATTTACAGCGTATATTTAATTGAATCCAAAGAAAATTCCGCCCTTCCGATTGTCAGATTTGATATTTGCAATATGACAGCGGCAAATGATGATGTAATCAGATTACATTCGTCGAATTTCGCAGATCAAACCAGCGACACATTGCTCAATTCGAAGGAAAAGTGTCAAGAAAAATCGATTTGAAATATTTTGACGAAAAAGTAAATGGCGTTTGATCCGAGTTTTTACCAAGAACTTGCCAAAAGTTACTCTTGCGATGAATGTACTTGGATCATATCTAAACGATTTAATTCAGTGTAAAAATTTATTGTGTTGAAAAATTGTTCACATCTCTTTTTTTTCAACCCAAAAGGTGTGTGTTTTCTGTGAAATCAATTGTGACTTTGAATTAAATGTGAGATCAAGTTCGGCTGTTCAACGTATAGGTAGGACTAGGGTTAACGTAAAAAAGTGCTTACAATTCTTTTTCCTTCTGTTCTTTCAAGTAAAACATTTGTTCAACGGCTGCTCATTTTTCATTTCAATTCGATTGGGCAAGTTGCCAAAAGGAATTGTCAAGCGAATGTAAAATGCTTCAAGCGCAAAAATATTGTTTTTCTCTCTCTTTTTTTGTCTATCACCGATGAGCAGAAAAGGGGATATTGGAGGGAAAGCCTTGAAAGGCAGAAGCAGAATAAATACATAGAAGTTCAAATGGCTAACGCGAAATGTATATGGTTATTATATGAGACATTCAGAGCCACTGGCAAAATGGCACCACAGCGGTTCTGAGGCAATGAAACATTCATTATGACATGGTTATGTTTGTGTTTTGCTCAGTTTTGCGCATCGAACAACCTGTGCCATTACATACGATGTTGTGCATTTATGTTCATCATCTGATGGCAAGACGGCAATAAATGTTAGCAGTAGTTTTATGACAACGGAAATCTACTATAACAAAATAATTCAATATATTGTATATGGTGTTTTGATTACAATTTCCCATAAAAGTTGATGCATTATTTGTTTGGTTGTTGGTGTTCATCAACTCAGATGACTGTTCCCACTTGTCGACGGTGTTTGTCATCACACCCAGTGCCATTGTTTGGCCAATCGACAACCATATTAAACTGAACTGTGCAAACTGTAAAGTGCACAGGGAGAAAGTATTGTTGAATGTTCAAGCCACACAAGCCATCCGGAATATCGTGACCATGAAAATTAAAATTAGATACATTGTGGAATGAATGTGACACAAGAAATCAATGTATACATGTTGTATTTAACTTGATTCCCGCTGTTGAAGCACATTACTGCCACAATTTATCATCAAACACCATGCAGAGAATGTTCGAGAAAATGAGATCAAAATACGAAATTCGGTTTACATTTGTGCTGTTTGCTGTACATATAGCCAGATGAAAATGAACGAGCGTCTGATAAAAAACCGAAATTAACGACATTGTTTTGTCTTGAATTCATTGTCGCTCTGAAAGCAAGAAAAAATATCGATTTTGGTTGATATAATACTTAATTCTTCTTCTATATTACAATAGTCTATACGTATGAGTCATTCGATCGTCCTCATAATGACTGTGTATTTATTTTCGGTGGCAACAGTTTTAATGTTAATTCATTGAGTTCGAAAATTTCGTATCATGCGATTTTTCGTTCTTGTCACAGAATTATATCGATTTGTTAAGTTTATTGAATCAGCAGAAATGCTTTCATTAAGTTTTTGCAAAAGTTGACGTGAAGTTAAAAGCGGCAAACAAACAAACAAAAGACGCGGTAAATCAATTTTAAATAGTAACACAAACAATGAGCTGAAACTCGAGCTCGGATTGTACACAGTTTCAAGGTCAATGCGGAAATGAGGTTTTCCGTTTGATTTATTCTAATGAGAGAATACAGTTTTTATATTATGTCAACGAAAAACAGTGAAAAGAAAATCTTTAGTACTAAAATGGTATGATATATTGAAGAAGCCAATACATTTTAGATTAGTTTTATGACATGGTGAGAATAGAATGCTGTTGGCGTTGATTATATTATAACGTTGTTCGAAGACAGATATAAAACTGGCTTGAATTTTGGACAACAACAACATAAAAAATCGAAATAATTCGCATTGTGACGTGCGATGTGTGTGTTAATCTAGCACTCGTTAGTGTTGTCTACCAACAAAAAACGGCTCATTCAATTAGGCCTTTGTAAGACACGCAACACCTATAATTATACGAGTTGAAGAAAAACGTTGGTGGTTACACATTGGCGTAAAAGTTCAGTTTGTTTCGTCTAAACTTCAGATATTTCTCTCTCTCTCTTTCTGCCTGTCTCCTATTTACATTTATCTAAGTACCAATAAAGAATCAAATTGACATTTTACACGTCATGCAGTATTACAATTTGAGTTTGAAAAACTCAATTAATTTATGTGCTGCATTTAATGTTTATTGGTTGTTTAAAGTCTGCGTAAAAGATCGGTATTCGGTTTGTTAAAAGAGTGATTATTTTGCACCAATATTAGCGAAAGACTTTTCTATTCCACTCATGTTGTTCAATTCAAACGCTTGAATGTGCGCTCAATTTCATTTATGTCGATTGCACGTAATTCATTTTTTAAAAAATCATTTTGTGCGCACTGGAAATTGTGGCTCGACAACAAATTTTCAGTCAGGCTGTGCTCAACCAGATTTACAAGTTGTAGATTTTAATATGACACACTCACATAATAAGTGGTCATAAAAGGAATTCAATGAAAAAAGGCTAACCAGACTCAACACACTCATTATTCCATTAATTTCATTATTTTATTGCTGGATAATAGAAAACCACTAATATTTTCAAATGTATCCGCTCTTTTTCGGTGTGTTCTTTTCATGTATAATTAAAAATGAACAATTGAATGGGTATCATATACAATGTGACGCAAATTTGCCAAAAAAAATGTTATGTAAATTAATATTTTTTTTTGTTCAGTGCTCTCGTTATTTAGTCAGTATCTGACGTTCAGTTCAAACCCTCTAGTTCAACTAATTTCAGCTACATCGTTATGTTCTCGAACTACAATTAAAAAAGTTGCCAACATTTTTTGTGTCTGCTTTGACATCGGTCGAGTGAGTGCCTTGCCATGGCGATCGACCAAATGCGTAGAAAATCTTAATGCCATTCGCTTTCACGATTCATCGAAAATATTCGGTCCGATTTTAGCAAGTGTTTTTTGGTGTCTTACGTAAATTGAGCGATATTTTTTTATGGCCGAGATCAAGTGACGATCTTTTGATTCATATATTGTTATTGTTATTCGAAATAAAACTCAGATAAATATAATATAATGAAAAATTTCCTCTCGTTTTACCTGACAAATTGAAATAAGTGATGTTTATGTTTTTCTTATATGCAAAAGATTATTTTTTTTCGCGTCGATTTTTGTGAAAGAATTCAACATTCATTGAGAAGGAAAGAAATAAAAAAAAGATAGTAAGAAGTAAACAAAACGTCAGTTGTGTTTTTTTTTGTTGCATATTTTCTACTTAGATTTAAATATTTGGCTCACTGGCGTGAGAATATTTTTGCCCTAAATATGCAAACTCAGGGGATATTGTGATGGATTTCAATTCCTTTCGAACTGAGTCATTAGATAAGAGAACCTTGTTTACATGCATTTCACTTACATTGTGCATAATGAATGTTTAGATACGCCAAGATTTCAAAAGGAAATCATATATTACTAACAAACAATGCAGCTGATAAACAATAAACTCATTGCGAGTCATCAGCAACTTAAAAATAAGAATGAAAAATTGCAACAAACTTATGTAAACACAACAATATCGTCAATGATGTATGAATCAAAGAAAAAAACAGATATTCGTGTGATAGTTAACTTGTGTGGTGAGATTGAAAACCAAAACCTGATAGAATTTAACTTTGAACCAAACCAAAAAAAAAAATCAAAAGAAAGAAAGTAAATATTTCAAACAATATGTACTTACCAGAGTGCGTTCAGTACGCACCGGATTCGCATGAACAGACGGTCACTCGAAAAGAATGTAATTGGATTCGTTTTTGTATCGTTTGAAAATTGTGTGTAGCAAACGCTAAAAAACCAAATCCGCCGACATTATAGCTCACGGTTGTTTGTTGTTTCTCTCTTTTTTATCCTCCAATTGACTTCCAATGTACACGTAATACCTTCAAAGTTTCTATTGAACGTGATTTTTCAATTTATGAATAATTCTTTTAATTTTCACAATTAAGTTTTTATTTGGTATGCTTTCGTGTGACACAATTAACGCTTTTTTTACTTTTATATAACGGAATGTTCTCGATTATAATTGTAAATTTTTTTTCTTTTAAATAAATTGAAAATAAATATAAACGTTGGAATGATGGTGGCAAAATGAACACGAAACTGAAATACTTCGACAATAACAATTTGGATTTTCTATTTCTAATTTTTCATCAAAGTTCAAATCGACTCGCTGGATCGCAGTCTGTAAGCTTACTAAGCGAATGGATAATTTTGTTTTACAGTAAAAGGACGTTCGTGTTTTTTTTTTGTGTATTGTGCATGTGTGACGTCGATGTCTGCGACAATATTAACCGCAAGAGTTTCTTTGGATAACTTGTACAACACACACAATCACTCTCGCTCTACTTGGCTACCAACAATTTTCTCTCGCATATGTATGGTATATACGAGTGCGCGAAAATCCAACTATAAATCACGTATGCTGAATGGCCCGTCGAATTTCATGCAAATTTCTTTTCGCAACCAAAAAAAAAAACACTTAGTTATAACGGATGAAAAGCGATTAAGATTTTTATCTGTGCTTATGCGTCTGTTCGTCTCCAATTTTCTTTCTCAATTGGACTTCAAAGTTTCTATTTTATGTTCGATTTGGTTGTTGCAAAAAGAGCAAAAAAAAAAAAACTATGCGACATACACGCACTCGGACTGAGAGAGCATACACGCCGTGTACACGGAATTCAAAGGCAATAACTATTTTTGGATTATGGTCGCTTTTTAGCTAAGAACGTGTCAATTTTTTTTTCTTAACGTGCTAATTTTGCTTTTCTGTACGTATCTATATAATATTCGATTCTGTGTTTCTTTATTTCATGCGAGATACACATGAATGAATGAGTGTACGGTGTCGCAATCGAAATCGCTGGCGAGAAAACAGTCAACGTAAATACAAATGTAAAATATCTTCGTTTAAAATAGTGATTCACAAATGAACAAAATGAAGCATTCAAAGTACACACGCTGACACACAATTGATAATAATACCTTAAACTTTAAACTTGAAAAAAAATATATACGGCAATTGTAAAACTAGCTCGCTGCTATGTATGATAAACAAGAATGAAATTGTAACTCCAAGGTTGCACTTTGAAATTGATCGAAATCAAAACAAGCTGTCCCAGTCACCCAGACGAAGTGAAATCGAAAGGGCTTTGGATAGATCGCTTTCGATATACACACAATAAATTCACAACTTTCAATGCATCAAATGGAATGCATTGAACTCAACGAAAAATGATTGGACTCTCAACGTGAATTTACGTAAAAAAATTATACGATTTTTTTTTTTCAGCAACGCAACTTTTAATATTAACTTTACAGTTATTTAATATTGACAGTCTTTATGGTGACGACGATTGTGTATTTGTGTGTCGCTGGGTGATTTTTTATTTTTCGCTTGCACCAACACATCCGTTGCTCACATTTGACTGGTGTACAAATGTCATGTAGCTAAACACATGAAATAGAATTCGAGCGAGACAAATACTGTGTGGCATGGCCGTTTGACGTTCGGGTGACGGTGAGACAAATGATATGGAAATCGACGAAAGAGATCGCACGTATGACAGTGCTCTATACGTCAAAATCTACAACGAATACTTCATACTCACACATTCAAAGTCGAATCATATGATGGGATAACATGCATGCGTACGCATCACCACCGATGAATTACTTGGTCTGTTGCTTGCACACCGAAAAAAGAAACACACACCAATCGTACATCACATTCTAGACAAAAACGAATACAAAACAAATTGATTTTGGCTGTGTATTTCTGTATTTTTATTTGTTTATACAGTTGATGGTTTCAGTCTGTATATGGTTCTTTGTTCGGATAATCTTCTTTTGCCGAACTTCCCGCAGGAACAGACACAGCGAATGGTACCTTATGCACGATGCGTATACAATACTCTTTCTTTTTTGGCTTTGCGTGAACTCAATAATTGCAGTGGAATTTTCCACTGGGCTCTCTAACAATATCTCGTATCCAAATCTCAATTCACTGACTATTCTGTAAACAAAATATATATAAACGTATTTTGTCGTTTTTTGGTCACACTCTTCGTAAACTGCAATAAAGAATTTTAAAACAAAAACATTTTCTCGAGCTTCAATTATACAAAACATTAAATATTTATTTTAACAATGTTTCAGCAATATTTCACACAGTTCATTTGTTTGCAATTGTTTGACAAAGAAATTTGCAATGAAAACTAGAACGAAAAGAGATGCAGGCCTTCGATCAAATGGAATCAAATCAAAATGATTGTCAAACATTTATAATTTAACACAATTTTATTTGTAATTTTTACATGGTATTTTCTATGTATTAACTTACAAAAATATTCGATTTGAATGAGACATCAAACACTGCTAGTTGAAGTTCGAACCGATTGAAATATTCAATGTCTTTGATTTGAAATGTGCAATTTCAGCACCATCGAAATTTATAGTTAGCGACCTCTGGTGGTGGGCGCACAAATGTAACAACTGACAGTTCAATGCAATCCAACAAAGTGGCAAAAAAACAACACATTGTAAATAAACAGTAATCTAAAACGTAGCTTTTGTGGTATCCCTCGTATTTCCAGTAATTTTTGGATGATTGAGTGTGCTAATTATTAAATTCAATTGTAACAGGTAAATTTATTGATTATTCTGGTAATTGATAAGATTCATAGCAGATGGATTTAATTTCGTTGTTAAACAATACCACGTAGATCTTTTGTTTAGATAATTCAGCTGGTGAATTATTTGATTTAATATTGCGTCGTAACAAAAGAATATTACATGATTTTGATTATCAGACATTATTTGATTTGGTATGTTTTCCAAATTGATATCATCTGTTTTCATCAATCAATTTCCCCAAAAAACATTGATAACATGCATTGACGATCGAAAAATGCAAAAAAGTGCTTGTTTTTTTTACATGTTGGTACTTCATTTCGATTGTAACAAAGCCCATACAAATCAAATTCAACTTGCATCGATTGCATGACAATTTCTTGCAAAACACAAAGCAAGCTTTAAAACGTTGGAGAATCGTAGTGGTGCGCATGTTACAAAACAGTCATAGATTCAATTTATCCGCAGATATTCTTGTAGTGGATGTGTGCGTGTATTTGTGTTGGCGCCTGTATATGTATTATATGTATATGTGTGTGTGTGTGTGTGTGGATGCGCGCACACCAAAACTCCAATAGCAAAAACGATTTTTCCACATTTTTCATCCTTCCTTTTTGCCAATAAACAGCAATTACAACCTTCTGAAGGAATTTTCAACTTGTACTTTGACAGCGCCAGTCAGTTTCGATTGCTTTTTCCATAAGCTTTCAGCGTTTTTAGTTCGACACCACGGAACGATTCTCCACACAGTCAATAACAATTTCAACCAAGAAAAAAAAATACTTTCATTTCATTTAACGAGCTTCCTTTTTCATTCACCACGCAACGCACTCTCATTCAAGTCGAACGGACACGGATTCATTTCCTAAAGTGTTAAAAAAAGAGTAAAAAATTCTTTTTTGAATCAGTTTAAACGTGAATAAACGCCAAGGGCGAATATCTCATCATCATCATCACTTTGAATCTAATTGGATAAGAAAAAAAACGTAAGCTACGCAGCAAATATTTGAACAAGAAAAAAAACATATTTGTATTTAGACTTATTTGTCGTGCTATTCAGTGATTTTGAAAACTTTTTCCCCCCATATGAGGAGAAAAGTGTTGGAAGTCATATCAATTATCGTCTTAAAATGAGTATTTAACAATTAACAGAGTTTAAAAAAATAAAGATACTAATGAATAATTGCAGTACTGCATAGTACAGTTAATTTATTTGTCGAGTGAAAATATGTGTTGTGTGCTGAACAAAAAAAAGGAAACAAAAATCGAAATATTATTTAAATCTCGACTCGCACCTTGTAGCCTTGTTCCCTTTTACACATATTTTTTCCCTATGCTAACTCCTACCGTACGATATTGCAATAATTTTTTGGTTTCATGCATTTTTTTGTGTGACGTAATTTTATGGATAATATGTGACCGTGTTTGACCATCAACCAAATGAACATTTTGCTGACAAATCGACAACAATTGAATTTCATTATGGTTTATTTCATATTTTTGTTCTCGGTCAATTTAATTAAATTTTGCTACTAATTGTTAATTCATTTTCGATGATGATTGACAGTGATTGGTTTTTGTGATTTCAATTGTATCGGAATCAATGTTTGGGCAAAGGGTTAATACATGAAAAATTTCAAATTAATTAGTCCTTGACTTGAAATTTGTGTGTCGCTCAGTTTGGATGTTGAATTTTGCATTTAAGGTGGTGCATTTTGGTTTTTGGTTAAAAGTCATTGAGAGGACAATTTAAATTAAATTGAATTGTGGTGAATGTTGTTTATCTGTATCGTTAAATCGATGTTGGAATCGTGTATGCAGAGCATATTGTGCAAAAGGGAAATCTTATCAGATTTAAAATGCACAAAACCGAAGAAATTGTGTGACCTCACGGATACACTTAGCATCAAGTACTCGCTCATGTCACAGCACAATTCAAAAAGAACACGTTGAAAATTTGTCGTATTGTAGTTGAATTTGCGTTGATGCGATGATTTTTTTATTCATCTTTCAACTGCTGCTTCATCTATTTTCACATTGTCGTATTTTCTCAATGTTACACATTCAACATTTTCCTTTCGTTGGTTGAACACTCCACAAGCGCATACAATCAACATCAAATAATTCATATATTTGTATAGCAACACACACAAACACATCGGAACATACACACACGACCAAACCAAATGCACACACAAGCATACGTTGAAGTCGAACATTTTTGTAATGGAAATGCGCCCTATGTGCCATTATCCACGAATGCTATCAACTATTGACTTTTTTTTCTTCATCTGACGTCGACTCCACGTCGCTATGCATGACATATACACAGTATTGAGTTGTAAAAGTGTGTAGACCCATAGTCATTCAAAGCATAAACATCAAATTTCCATTTTCGATAGAAGCGTTTATGTTTCCATCGATCCCATTCCTCTATTTTCCATTTATGCACGTGCATACACATTTCAGTTCGAATGAAGCTTTTCACACTGACTCATGTATGTGTGCGTGTGTGTGGGTGTGTATGTGAATATTGTGGTGTGTATATTTGCCGCAAGGCACATTGTCACAATGGAATCGACAATGGTACTGTACAGTAGCCTTGATGTTGTGGTAGCTCTTATGCATGTATACTTTGTCTGTATTTGAAATGATTATAACATTGTGGAGTCTTAACATCGTTGTCTTCGAGTCTGTGGAAATTCAGATGAAAGAGTACCAACAACAACAAAAATTGAAATGAAAAATCAAATAAACACCCACGCATGCAAACAACCAGCAAGTAACCAACCGAGTTAACCAAGCTGGATACGAAGAGACACAGAGATTTTCTCTCCACATATACGTATGTCGCATCAACGAAAATCGATGCAAAACTCTAGCTGCGGGCATATATTCTTTGCTAGTTTTAACAAACAAATGGATAAATTCCGTTTCAGAATGCCATTGTTCATGTGCCTTTGCAGCCACCTCCGAACCACTCAGTTGGCCATACGATGTGCAAATTGAAACGACAGCAAGTGATAAGTGTTTTATACATCTGCAACGCAATATGGAATTGGATTTAACTGTATAACACCATAGAAATTGTGTGCCCATCATTCAAAACGGTTGGTCGTCCATTGTTTTCGATTGTTCGTTATAAGAACGGCTTTGGGGTCAAAACTTGGCTCACAGATGTTGCTGAATTTGATATCTAAACATTTCATTGCGTGCACTAAATTATTCGTCGGGCATTTCATTTGATTAACTCATTCAATTCGTGTTTTGTCTCGTTTTTCGGCTTAAATCGTATGTGCCAAAGTATGTATTGAATTTCTGCTGAATTTTCAGAATCGTTTTCAACTCAAACATTGAGAGTAATCCATCGGCTTTGAAGGTCCTTTCAATTTTTTTATAGCCTCGTAAAATCTTCGATAAAAGCACTTTGAATGGAAACTGTGTGCGCTGTAAACACTTAATTCGCAATTTTATGAGTTCACTTTGGGAAATAAATACGGTGCCAAAGTTTTAGCCAATTTCTGTTGCGATAAATTTTAATTAAATTTTATAAGCCTTTTTCAAATCAATTAACGACTTCAAACTACAGACGCTGAAATTTAAAGAAAAAGAAAATGTCAATCACATAAATCCATCTTATGGTAAAAGCATCCAAAAATGAAAGGGTTTACATGCGAATTTAGCACCATTTTAATTAGTGAAAATTACTTGCAAATGTATCGGCACACACCCAATTTGACCCATTCTTCAGAAGTCAATCCATTCTTTTGCATCGTTGTTCATCTCATCAGCGACGTCAAACGGTGATAATGACGGAATTCTTACTTGAATTAATCCGAATATTTTTTTTCGCACAGTTCTGCTGTTATCATTCTTATGCCATTTCGCAAATGCATGTTTCCATGCTCTTTCGGTGAACTTCGCATAAACCATATTCAATAATAAATAATTTCTTTTCAACAGCATTAACTGAGAGAGAATTTCACATAAACACGCAATAATGAAGTGTGAACTGTGCAGCATACAACTCACTCTATCTATTGAGAGTGTCTATGTGTCTGCGTGCTTGAAATTACTTATTCGCCCATGGATTGTTGTTGAATAATAAATGTTGGGAATACACGTTCACACATTTTTGGAAAACAACAACAAAGCTTAAAATACCACACTCACGCTTTACCGATAAAAAAAGCACAAAAGAAAGAAAATATAAAGCCTCCATAAACGGTAAATAATGAGAAAAATTGGGTTAACCAATTTTCCATGTACTGTTCGAGATAGAACGGATCCCAACCGTTGATGAGCAATTCAATGTGGTCGGGCGGATACAGAAAATGTGAGAAAATTTTGTTTACGCTCGCTTTTCACGCCACAATATTCTGAATTCATGTTGCAATTGTATATTAGTTTCTCTCGCGTTAATTGCCATCAGAAAATTGATGCAGATATAAAGCGACTGGCAAACAGTTATATCCTTTTAAAAGGCTTCGTTTTGTTGACATCTGGATTCCAGCTGGGACATTATACATATTGCAATCATTTGTTTTTTTTTCTCTCCCTCTGGTGCAACTTTAATGCTTATTATTTTCCTTGCAAGTCATACTTGAATGACTTGAACAAGGATTAGTGTTGATGAGTGTGCACACAATGTTGCTTAGTTCACATTTAATGAACAATTTAAAACAAATATTTAACAAAAGATAGAAAAAGTTAGTTTGATTGGCTATTTTTCATTTAAATTAACTTTTCAGATTAATTGACAGGATAACGAAGAATTTTAAAGCAGTACACAGCATCACAACAGTAATAGTAAACGACAAGCATGTTTTCTGGATTAACGAATCAAGTGAGTTCATGGATGGGTGCCGTGAAAGGTGAAAACGAAGGTGGAGATCCAGCTGCACAAGAGAATGTCGACCCGGTGCAAAGTGAAATCGCCGCCGATGCTGGCGAACATTCATTCGAAAATGTTCCTGTTGGTGAAGAAGGTGAAGCCGCAGCAATCAGGTGCGTAACAATTTGCATATTGATTTTATTTTATCGCGAATTTAAATGCATTCAAACATTTACAATTGAAACACATTGTTGTGATTGTTGTTTTATTTGTAGCCCAACCAAAGCTGGCGTATTTTCAAATGTACAATCGAAAGTGAGCGGTTGGTTGCCCGCAATGCCCACGATGTCTATGCCTGCAATGCCAAACGTAACACTTCCAACTGTTGGTTTGCCAAATATGCCAAACATTCCCGGTTTGAAAAAGAATAGCACAAGTGCTGATGCCGAGGGGGCGGTTGAGGCCGCTGAAAATGTTGAAAACGCAACTGGTGCTGGTGATGATGATGAGGATCGATCTAGGTATATCAGGTATGTGGGCCTTGCAAATAAATGAAAGCGATTTTTTTTCTCCACTTTTTCACTTTGATTCGAAGCGAATATTTTGGAATGCGTTTCAAATTCAATTGTCTTGTATAAAGATTTTCAATATCTAGAGATTCACACACACACATCATATACACTAGAATACACAACCACAAAATAAAATACAATTTATATTTATACTATACAAGTTATAAAATTATAATATACATTTTGATTATGTCCATTTTTCCGTTTGATTGAATTTCAAAGCAAGCAAAGCATTTGTATGTAAATTTAGCATATTATTGCTTTGTTTTATTTCCGATTCCGCATTCGTTCTGAACAGTTCATTCTTCTCTTATTTTTTTTTTTGTCATTCATTTTGTTTGATTTTGTGCCAGTATTGTTCTTAACATTTCTATGCATTGGCCTCACTTCGATTCCATTTCTCTGCATACCATGTTTTTGTTCCAGTGAAAGTTGAGCAAAAAGCGAAAAACTTTCCATATATTAGGGCAATTTTGAATATAAACATAACACAGCATACAATCGACTTTATATATTCACATAAAACCTTTAGTCAGTTATATCGATTTTGTTACGTTCGTTTGACTCGGATAGTGAGCATTTGAAGTTTATTTTAGATTTGTTTGGTTTAAATTGACAGTTTTTATGATATGTTTTCTAGATTTAATTTATTCTATTTCACTTTATACTAGCTCCTTTATACGATTTCAATTTTGTGTGTTCATTTAGTCAACAGTTCAATTTATGTCGTTTTATATTAATCAAGCGCAAGTGTGAAAAGGAGAGGAAAATGGGGCCAATTGGCGTCGGTAAAAAATAATTAATATCACTTATGGTCCACCCTCCGTTAAAATTCAATGATGGAATGAAAAAAAATTGGATTCACCGGCGTTATAATAAATTTTGACAGAATCATTTTTTTTTTTTGGTGCTCAATTTAATTTTCTTTGAAAACAATGCCCAAACCCAAGTCACAGTTGATTGTGAAGCATTAATTTATTTTCGTCGCAAAAGAAAAAACTTCAGCCATAAGCAAATCTCGGCAACAAAATTCAAAATTGTTGGTTTTCATCAAGTCACAAAACGAGAAGCGATAATTTAAAAGAAAGGACCAATGGGAGGATGTGAAGACTTCAAGTCTCTTTGAGCCGACGGTGGCGCCCCGAATTTCAAAGGGGACGTCAATGTAATTTCACAACTCAAATCGAAACTAAACAGCGCGCCAATTTTAAAATTTGCTGTCATTTCCTCCCATTGGAAAGGACCGATGCGAATTTATGTCAGTGATAAATTTCTGTGGCTATGCAAAAAAAACACATTGTTGTAAATAACAAATTAGAGTTTACATAAATTTTCATAATTTTCCATGGAAAATTCTCTAGATAATATCTTGATGCTAGACACTTTGTTTGCATTCCATTATAAAAGTATAATCAAGCGATATAAATTGGGTTTAGTTGAAATGAAACGTCTACATTTTGAGATGTGCCGCACATCAAGGTAAGTGGAATGTAAAATGACGGGAGATGTGCCTTAACACAGAGATTACAATTTCATTTAGTGGCACAAAATTGGTGCATTGTCCAAATAGCTTTGTTTTCAAACATTCTCAAACTTGAGCTGCTGCATCTGGATGCACAATATCCACATTTTCAATTTAATCAAGCAGAAATCGAATTCGGTCAAAAGCATCTCAACAATAATTTCATAATAAATGAAACATACTACAATTTCATCTACATCATCATGCCATGTGAAGCGTATTAGCAACAATGTTTTTATGCAGAAAGTTTTTTTTTACATAAACTGGCACATTTGCAAATCTAATTTCTTTTTGGCGAGCATTGCACTCAAGTTCTGGAAATGGAAAAGTGTATTTTTATGAAAATCAATTCTAATTCTGAGCGCTGGTAATCGATCTTTTTCATTCGTTGCTATAGAAATTGAAAAGCGATACCGAATCCATTTTTAGAATCCTGAATTGACAACATTTGTTGGACTCTCCAAATATATATATGGATATTGATTGATCAAATATAGATCGCACACACATAAATTACAACAATAAGATGTTATTTGCTGCAAACAATCAGCATCCGAGGGAATGTAGCACATTCATTTGTTTACATTGTGTAGTTGAGCGCACAAATGAAGCGAGAGTATGAGATACCAAACAGGACGAACGGACGCGATGCTCCGAAGAAATTGGCAAATCACTTGGAAGCAGAGCAAGAAAAAAATACTGTTGCGTTGGTGGCTTCCAGCTATTGAAAGCTTTTTTTACTTGGAATACAGACGTCGTTCATCATTATCCGCGTATTTCCCGTTCCTTTGCTTTTTTTTGTTCGTCTTCTGGACGCATTCAAAAACTTTTGAAGAATGTAATTTACAACAGCAGCAATGAAAATACAATAAAAACCACAAAGTTTTTCGCGTAGATTGTGTTTGAAATGTTGAAAGTTATTTAGATTTGAGTGATAACAGAAGGAAATGAATCGATAGAAAGACGGAACAGAGTATATACAATGCTGCAAGACATGAATATAGCAATACACGAAAGCACGAAGCTATTTCGAAGAAGCAAATCGAAAAAAAACAATCCAACTACTTACCATAATACTTTATTTATTACGAATTTGTGTTGAATATCGTGGCTTCGTTGGCCTGTTCGCGCGCGCTTGGTCATAAATTTATTATCATTCGGGTTTTGTTTTCGTTTTCGCCGTTTTTATTGCAATGTAAGAAAACGTTTATTGAAATAATAAGAACCCGCACGCACTGAACCAGCCATCATCACAATCATCAATCATGCCATCCAATGCCAGTTGCGTGCTGGTCTCATCTGGAGCACCCCCACTTGCTTACGTCTTTTCCTTCACGGAATCGATGTCGTTTCGATATTTTCATTCATTTATATTCGATGATATTACCGGAAAGTTTCATTGCTTGAAATTGATTGTTTGCGTTGTACGGATTTTTCCGACATAAACGAATTCATACGCAGGGTTAAAATCTCACGCAAAAGATTATTTCATTAAATGAAAAGAGCCTATAAATATTATTAACTTTTAAGCTTACACAAGACTATTCGTATTGACTATGAAATGAGAGTGAAGCGAAAGATATCGAAGTCTTTTAAACGTTTCAAGTAAAATGAAATGAAGTAAAGAGGATTAAAAGCCAACATTTTAATTCTCCATATATTCATGGACTAATCTTTCTGAGGTAATTACCGTTTCGCATAATGTTCATCGTTCAAATAAATACAAAAAGTTTTAGTCGCCCGACAATGGTATCATAAAAAATTATTACAAGAAACTACATGAACTGCATTTCAAGTAAAAGGTGTGACGTCACTTGAGAAATGAAAGCCATTTTAAAAGCACGAAATTACCGAATCACATTTCAAAAGGGATAACTATGGACGTTGATCATTGTTGATCGAACCTAAGCATTTAAATGAACATTTGTAATTTTCACAACAAATTTTTAGCCGTAATTTGAGCTTAAATATTCAAATTATGTTGAATACTTTCTCAAATCTAATCCCACCACGAAAATGAATTCTGCGCAAAACTTTATTAATCCTTTTGGCATTTTTTTTTGTTAAATAAAACTGTCACCGAAATATGACGAGGTAGTCCAAAAATGAATTGTTCAAGTTGTGCGGTATGATTTGGCTTAAAATATGCAAATCGAATTTGTTCACACGTTTCGTCAGATGATAATGGCATGTTGAAAATATGTAAAGCCACTCCCTCGAAATTTATCTTGATCAATATTTATTTGAATGAAAGACGCTGTCGCTGGCGACAAGATTTTTCGCTCATGTTTTCGAAATATATAATTTTCGCTCATGGTTACGTTTATATCTAAATATTTGGCACCCCCACAGATATTAAATCCCACTATTTATCTTGGGACGCCCGATTACAATTTTGAAAATATGTCAACGGGTTTTAAAAAAAAGAAAAATCGATATAGAATTATCTGGAGAAAAATGATACGAACTTTCCATTCTCATATGTTACTAATGATGAACATTTTCATCAAGCAAAATAATCAGTTGAATCATCAAAGATTCCCACACAAAAAAGCACACACACACACACGAGCGTGGCATCGCTTTCAAAAAGAAATATCATATTTCCATCACTGTAGCCTGGAAAAAATGCTCATTAAAAATCGACAATTCCACTGTTTGTTTATATTGTTCGCTTTATGTTTGGTTTTAATTATGTCACAATATTTTTTATTTACTTTATTTTCGTTTATTCATTTCCGATTACACAACAGCCAATTTCATATGAGTTACACACGAAAAAAAAATGTAGATAGAGGGAAATCACTACCAATACACATTCACTATAACAATCACACACAATATTTAAAAAAAATCAGACAGAACGCATCATCTTTAGCAAAAACCAATTGAAAATAGCACATAAATCGAATCATTTAACAATTCAAACGAAATCGATTTAATTCGATGTCGAACCGTTATGAATTAAAAAAAAGCAAAAAAAAATCCTTCATTTTTTGTATGGCCCATAATCAATCTCGTTCATAAGTTTATTGGTGTTATTTTTTTTTGTTTCTCTTCAAAGAATTCAATGTTTTTTTTTTGTGTGTCGTCGTAGCTATTTCCCCCCAGTAACAACAACACGTAATTTGTTTTGTTTTCTCTTTGCTATGGTATTTTTTGGTTTAAATTTCTCTTCTTCCTCTCAAATTATCTTCTCGCTCGGTTCGCAAAAGCTCTGATAACAAATAACATTCATTTCTTCGTAACAAATAAGAATCATTCCCTTCCGCCATTTTCATCATTTCACATTTCAGTATGGATTTTGTGCTTTTCGGTTCCACATCATGCACTTTGTATAACATGTTTGAATATTCATTACAATCATCTCCCTTTCAATCAATCGGGACAGACAACATAGCTGTTTTGTCATTTATGCTGGCCATTCAAATCACTTGTTATTGAGATAGAAACTCTTCAACATTTGCCATAATATAAATCTTTTATCGGATGCCGTAGCAATGCATATTCGACATAACATCATCCGTTCAATCCAATCCAAATAGATGACTTTTATATTATAGTATATTTTTTCACTAGCTTCTCTAGTTTTAAAAAAATAGAATTCTTGTTATACCATATAGATTGAAACCCATTCTTGTTGAAATCTAATATGCAGTTTTTGTTACAAGAGCATCTTTCATGGAAATGTGCATTATTGAAATTCATGGTAGTTTCAATGCTAATACGATGGAAAATCCAATAAAACACTACATTTTCTTCATACATTTTTTATCAACTTCTTTCGCATTTTTAACGCTTTTGAATTCATGTAAAATACCGCAAATTTACCGTACACAAAGTGAAAACAAACCACTTTGACCATTCAACAGTTTACGGATTTTATGTGAATCATTTATCTTTCTCAAAGCCTTTACTAAACCTTTTTTGTATGCTTTTCCATATTTTTGCGAACCAAATCTCATTTTTCTATATATATATTTTTATTTCGTTCTTTTTTTCAACCTCTATTATTCCCTTTGGTGAAATTTGTGCAGGTGTTAAATTTTAGAATCGAAATAACGTTCTAAAAAATCAAACAAAACCATATCTTTTGGCTCTTTCTATTTTTATGTAAAAAAAAAAACAGTGCTACCGAAGGCGCAGATTCTCGTCCAGCGAGCGGCCCAGGAACACCAACCGATGAGAAGGGCGGACAAGTTGGCATCGGTAATTGATTTATTTACTTAATATTGAATAGAATAGGAAAAGCGTGCTGACACCTGAAGTGTTTGTAAAATGCATTTAATAAATCGTTCATTGTGACAAACATTCAGTCGCAGAGCGATTGTTGAATGCGCTTAGATCATCAATCGTTTTAGAAAATCGACATAATCGGTGTACAATAGAATGGAAAATAAAGCAGAGGAAATGTTATCGCATGATATCGAAAGTATTGTACACTCGTCGCATCCGTGAGGAAACCTATTAATCTCCCTTGATGAATTCTATTGAACTTGAGATGCAAACGGAATCTAACTCACTCTCTTTTTATTGCAATGTCGTCCAGAGAATGGATTTTGCAAATTTATATTTACATCAACATTGGAGTCACCTTCAAGCAAGGCACACACACACAATACAGCAGAGATTGTCCAGTAAAACGACATTTGTTTAATTTGATCCATTTTCTCCTTTTAATTATGCAACAAATGCATACTTGAGCCGCTTGTCGTCATTGCAAACCATGTAACACAATCCGAGGATAAGATCTAGAGATTTATAAAATGAAAGAAACAGTGAACATTCCTTGGGAGAGAAAAAAAGCGTTTCTAAAATGACAACATTTATTTATTTATTTCCATGCGTGCTTTTCATATATTGCTTTATGTATTAGAATGGCACAGCATAAACAACGGATTTTACAACAGCAGATGCCCTTTGCGCACTGGCGTCTATTCTATTCTGTTCAATGGATGTTGGATTGTCATCCATATTGTTACAAAGTAGCAGCTATTTTTGTGTTTGCTTGATGCTTGTGCACACAGCTATCATATAAAAAAATTATACGTAATATCCAATTTTGTTCAGTCAAGCCACCATGGTATAAACGTTATCCACATTGCTTACAACGTGCTCCTAAATTACTGTCAGAGCATTTTATTTCCATTTGTTTTTTTCTGAATCGTTACCCCAAAAATCGTGTACACATAAGACTTAAATGTTCGTCATATTGAATGTAGCGTTACTGAAGAGAGTTAGTGAAATAAAGCGAGAAAAATTAACAATGAATAGGAAATTTCGATAAAAACCCAAGAGTATTGTTGCACAAGTCAAACATTTATAGCGATATCAGCACTTGCAACCTTTCCACGTTCATGTGTCAAATGCGATCTGACGTAAAATATTTTTTAAACGGTCATATACCCGCCACATTTTTTTCTCTGCGCATTTCAAGCGAAACACGGATTCAAAACTACCTTTGACGTCAACGTAGCAACGTTGTAAATTTTTAGATCGAAAAATAGTTCGAGTGTAATGCAATTCCCAGAGTTTTGTAGCACACTTACATTTCATTTACAGGACATAATTGCGGGTTCGTATTATCACCGTCGAAAAGGAAATACTTCGCACCCGACCTCATTTTCGTTCTTTTTGTTATTGAAGAGCTGCTCATATATTAACTGGCATCACACTTGAGACTCGTGTGCAACACGAAAATAGTCTCACATAAGAATCTGTTCACTCATGCTGAACAATGACGGAGGGCAAAGTGCATAAAAATAAATCAAAATTATATTTGCCAGTTTGAACACGAATCAAATGGCAGCGTGGAATGTGCGCCACCAAGGCACAATAAACGACAAGTGCTGTTTTTTTTTATTATGCTGCGAATTATGTCACCAAGAAAACGCAGCGCAATAATCCGACTTATAAGCAATGTAGAAATTATGATTTGAAGCAAATTATGCGCGCAAAGTACACATTAAAATATTAATCGGAATTTATGACATTCTTCTTTCTTCATCCCAGATTACCCCCTTTGTTTATGTTATTATTTATGAATGGTTTTTGTGACTTGTATCCGTTTATTGTTTACAAATCGACTTTCAATGGTCGTAAAGGGAAAAAAAATGTCTGGCGCCATAAAATTTTGCCATTCCAATATACGTATAAATACTGAGACGGAAATTCACAATTACAATTGGCTGAAATGGAAAACCGGATTTCTTTTCTCATGGATTTTCTTTTTCATTCTCATTCTTTCTCTCACAATAGTCACAACGAAAGTTACACAAGGCGCAAAGAACTTTGGATCGTTCTTGTACTCGGCTGTTAACAAAGCGAGCTCTAAAATCAAGGAAACAGTTAAAGATAATGTATGTTGTTATAGCCATACCTTTTTCTTTTTTTTTTTTTTAAAGAATCCATTCAACCGAAGAAAACTATTTATCTTTTGAAATACCTTTGATAGAACATACTCGGCGAATTCAACAAGGAACAAGAAGAATTCATTAAGAGTCAACAAGGCGGCATTCAAAGCGGAGTCGTTCCTTGGGCTGGACATCAAAATGAGGAAAAAGTCAAAGAAGAAATTTTTGGATTATCATCGGTAATTATCGGCAATGGCTGACTATTATTAATCGGGTTCGATTTCGAATTTGACCATTTACGTTTTGTTGTGTTATGCATACAGGACCGTCGGAATTTCGTTCGTGCACCACCATCTGGAGTAGATTTTGAATTCAATTACGATTTGTCATATCCAACAGCCGTTGCCATTATGGCCGAAGACACGCAATTAGAGAAAATGCGCTTTGATTTGGTACCGAAAATTATCACCGAAGAACAATTTTGGCGAAATTACTTTTATCGTGTATCACTAATTTGTCAAGCATCCGATCTGGGAACATTAGGCGCACAAGGAAGTGAAAATGAAGGTAAGTAATTCCTTACACATGTGCCTGATACAAAAAATATGCCACTGTCGTATGTAACAAATTTATAGCCCGATAATCACATTCATTTTATATGTTTGTTGCGCTGAGCATTTATTTTTCAGTTCTTTTTTTTGTTAAATTAGTTGATTTGTTTTCTATTTTTAATTTTTAATTTCATATCGTAATGGTACGACGGCGACACTTTAAATTCTCACGTATAAAGCAAATAAATCTGAAGAGAATAGTGCAAAACCTTTAAATAAGCAATCAAAAAGCGCTGTAGAAAGTGAATTCGTATCTGATGCATTCCAAACCACTGACAAGGACTTGGACGAAGTCAAAGCTGGCATGAAACTTTTGGGAATCGATTCGTTAACAAATCAATCAAACAAAAATGATGGTAAGATTCAACGATAAGGATTTCCATGAAAGTTCAATTCAACAAACGAATAAAATTGGTGCAGATGCATCTGTGTTTGGTATGTTCTCGTTCTCCAATTTCGTAATAAAGACTCTCTCGCTCTCTTTCTCTCTGATTTTTATAAAAGCGTAACCGCATATTTATCGATTCTTCAAACTTATTCAAGGTCTATACTTGCTGCGATGATGCTGTTGAATTGGATCAATGGCGCATTTCCGTGTTTTTATTACTCAGAATGCATTAGCCACCCCAAGTCGTTCAAGATAAATTCATAAAACACTTTTAAGTTTTCTCTGTTGATCGAGTTTTATAAGGATTTATCTCACTTTACTAAGTTTCTGTTATTTCGATTTTATAGTTAATCTTATTTCGAAGTTTATTTTCTGTTTGCTCGGACTCAGCGCACTTTATTTATTTTTCAATCATTTTTTTTAAAAGCCTGTTTGTTGTTGCATGATTTTGTCAATGTTTATCGGATCGAAGACATATCTTTCGACTTTTGCTGTCCACTCAAGCTTATACTAAAATTAATTGATGAAATATTAATGGAATTCGTCAATTATCTTTATGTGGCTAATGTAGCAAACATGTATGTTACTATTGAGCCGAACAAAAAATGGCTCCCCTATAAAATGGATTGACGCACATGTTCGCCTTGACTCCTTGTTGAAATCCATGCACAGCACCACAAAAAAAGAGAAGTCGAAACCGTTGTCAAACCACTCAATAAAATCAAGTGATTATATTGTGGTTCATTTTTTTCATTTTGTCATCAAAGTGAATGTTGATCTGAAGTATTCCTAAAGCACTTTTTATTCATTAAAATCAATGTCATCTATAAATGCCCTCACGTGTATGGATTTTTTTGTCATAATGAAAATCAAGTACTCATGCAAATTGGGACGTATATTGCTTTCAACTCAATGTAAAAAAAAACACTTTATTTATCGGCCACAAAAAATATTGTTTTCATTTTCTGTTTTAATTCATCAGCTTTCCTGTTTGATATTCCACTATTGGTTATGTTTTTATTCTGTTTCTGGAATTGTTATTTTTTTTGGCAAATGTGTAGTTTAGTTTCTAGAGAAAATATAGAGACATTTTGTAAAAAAAAAAGAAAAAAAAAATTAATGTGTATAAAACCGTAGTAAGTGCAAATAGTTTTCATAAAATTCGAAACCATTGAATCACAAATTGATTTCACTCCAGTTCATCACTCCATGCAACAACAAATAAAAAAACAACATCAACCGAACTAATCAATATGTTTTTCCCCTTTTTTCTATTTTCTCTTTCTCGTTCTTGCAATCGCATTTTCAAATGGCCAACCCATCTCTTATAAATAATATGCACCGTCCAGAATCTCTAAATTAATTGAAGCTACAGAATCAATTTGAATAAACCAAAACCAAAAACCATAAATATTGTAATTACAAACAACAATAAAACAGAGAAAAAAATACCAACCAAAAAATAATTAATTTAAATGAATAATCACAAAAATAATTAAGCAATTCTATTTGAATTATCGTCAAAAGTGGACATTGTATCCGTATTTTTAGAAGACTAAAGAAAATGGCATAAAATCAGAATGAATTGAAGAAGCGCCGACATTTTATCGGTCAAATTGTAAAACCGGATTATTAGGAAGATTATTTTCATTTGTATGGAGAAAGAGACAAGTTCATAAAATTTATTTTGTAAAATAAAATCAATCTTGAGATATAAATGAACACATGTAACTAAAACACACACGTAACCAAAAGCATAAAAAAAAGTAAAAACAACAACATTTGTAGGCAATAATAATGAAATTATATACAATGAGATCTTTTGCATCAATTGCGCGCTCGCACTTTCTTTATAAATATATAAATCAATGAAAGCAATTTTTCAGTGCATTCCAGCATAAAATAGTAGCTTTTTTGCGCAAACCAAGCCTAAAAACAATTTGAATGTTTGTTTTTTATTTCTCGTTCGTTTAGATTGTTGATAAGTGATGTTTACGTTTCGATCAATCGATCAACATTTTAATTGTTTAAACATACAAAAAAAAAATTACACGTTGTGATTGTTATATCTAATATTTGACGTTGGACACTTCAATTTCCCAAGAAGAAAAAAAGAACTTCACCCGCGTGTTAATTGGTGTTGAAAAAGAGTCTGAGACCATATACCCGATATAATTTTTCCATTGCACTTGTTATTGATTCATGAAGGAAAGGGAAAACCGAGAAAAATTCCATTCCAAACCAATTCCACGTTATCAAATTAACTGTTCTTGCTGAACCAAATCCCTCACCCCCCCACCACTATTCAACAATCTTTAATATTACTTTTGAAAAGAAATTTTACTTGTAATTGAGAGTATAGGACTAGTCTTTAAAAGAAATTACTATAATTTACTATATTGATTCAAAAACATAGAATAAATGAGATATAAAAGAAGAAACACTCACATGCAGAGCCTTTAATAAATGACACTGTTCAGTTTCGTCTTCATTTTGAGAGCTAATTTAATATTTTTCGTAAATGTGTAAAAAAAAACCAAAAAGTTCTCTGCTCATGTTTCGACTTTTGGAAAATTCGTTGGTAATTACTGTAACGGCAATAAATTGGAATCACGCTCAAAATTAACATGCATCATTTACGTTCATTCAGTGAAATAAATTTAAAACTGAAAATTTTTGTGCTAAATAATGTCTATAATTAACCCTGGAAAATGTGCAAACTAGAGATAAAAGGCAGACAGACACGATGGAAAGTTGGCGAACAACCAATTTTTCATTAGCACAGAATTATAAATACAAACGCATTTTTAAACCAATAACAATTAATACTTTTGACATTAGAAAGTGGATTATAAGAATTTATCTTGTCGAAGAAAAGTGAACAAATTCTAATCGCTGAATGTTGTCTTTTTTTTATTTGCCATCGAAATGTTTAAACAAAATATCAGCTAAATGTTCTCTTTTTCTCATTTTTGTGTGCAAAATCATGTTGTATTCTCAAAAGAAAAAAAAAACCTTCAAAATCATACCCAAAAAACAACTCTATTATCCAACTGAACATTACCATTTATTATTATTCATTGTATTTTAAAAAAGAAGAAGAAGAACGAAGAAAAAACAAACCTAAACAAAGCCACAGCTATATATATTATAATTACAATTGAAATTTATAAAACCTAGTGAAAAAAAAGAAATATCTTTGAATAAAAAAAAAATACGTTACTCAGATAGATATTTATTCAAGAAAATTAAGAAAATACAAAGTGAACAGAAAAAATGTGAACATATATCTATTGAATTCTATCAAACTTTATCAAATATTTTTGTCTTTGTCTCGCTATTTCTACGTTTCTGTGTGTTAATTTTTTGGTGCCCCTTTGTTAATGTTTCTAACTTTTCAAATGTCGCTTTCTCTATGTAAACCATTGCAATATATTGTGTACGTATGCGTGCTTATGTGTGTTGAGAATGTTTGTTGAATGAACGATGACCGTGAATGTTTTGATTTCTCAACCGAATGATTGTTCAGTTTCGACGGGACGATATTCACATTTGTCCAATTTCATTTTAAGATGGCACTGACCGACAGTACATGTACATTTCCAGACACATTTTGAGCACCTAACAAACACATTGAAATGCTGGAACATTTCTAATACATGCTATCTCGAAATTCATTTATTCGGCTCTTTTTCCATATGTATATATTTACTTTAGACACCTCCTTTAAACGACATCCCACTAGAACCATCAAATGGCGAATCGAACGCTACATTTTCGGTTTGTTGTTTCTTCCGTTTCTTTTGTGTGTGTTTGACATAAAACAAATACAGGAATTTTGCCTGAACATTTTTAATTTCGTCATAATTTTCGTTTTCTGCGTTCTGTGTCGCCATTCTGATGTCTCGTATCACGGATGTGAATTGTGGGCCTTCTCTGACTAAAAATAAAATTAACAAAAAAAAAAAAACATAATAATAAAACAAAACACGTTTAAATTGTGAACGAGTGATTGTGGTTTGTAAGATAAAGAAAAAATTACGTAGAAAATCCAAAGTAAAATGTATTTAAAGAGAACGACAGAAATGCGATGAAGAAAATGTGCTAAGACATTTTTTTGTGGCAAAAGGGAGAGAATAGAGCAAATCAATACAAATTGAAAATTTAACAAAAAAAAACACAGACTACTAGTTAATCTAAATGTGCATTTAATGAAGATAACAAAAAAAATTTGAAGATGAAATTTATATACAAATATACATCATAATATATATTATACAAAAAAAAGTGAATGCAACATGCAAACAATAAATGAACATTGTAATCGGAAAAATTTTAAATGACATTCAAACTATTCAGTGAGTTGAAATAAGATTTAGTAAATTCGAAAATGTGAATAGGGAATACAAGTGGAAATCAATCACAAAAAACACACACACACACACACATACACAATTGTGAAAAATTATTCATCAGGTACCATTCTAGGTTTTTGTTCACTTTGTTGCTACTTGGACAATCGAATCGTTTCCATGTGGCTGATATAAGACAAAAAAAAAACAACATCACCCAAAAACACTATCAAATGACATTTTAATCATACTTAGCGAGAACGCCACTCTCTCTTTCTTTCGAAATGATGTGTACACAATGTTTGCTTCACATCTGATTGAATCGAGAACCGAATCCATTCGCAACACTACTTGTTACATATTCCATACATTCAATCTCTTTCACTTTGAGATGTATTTTCTTTCTTCTGTTCAGATAGCGGGATGGAGCGATAAGAATCCGAAATCTAACTATACAAATTTATTATACATCCATGACTATATGGCCTACCTTTTTTTGAGAAAAAAAAAAACGAAGAAGAAAAAACAAACAAATAGAACACCCTTCCCGTTTTCCTGATATCGATTTCGAAGACGAAATCGAAAACACTGCCACTTAATGCGATTTTATACACTATTGTAGCTCTATATTTCTTTGAAACAAACAACATAAAAAAAGTCAATAAGTTTCGTAGAAATCTTCAAGAGAACGAAAACGCACAACATGTAATTTTTGTCCGCTCGTCAATTGGATACTGAATATTTGTGAAATTGAGGATTTTTTTCATTTCATTTTTTAAATTGACTTGTTGATGTTTCGTTTTCGTGTAGTAGAATGAAGTTTGGCTACGTTACGCATCCAACCCGCTATTTGGCAAAAAAAAAAAAAAAGAAAAACAATTTTTGAAGCTATCGCTTTAAACAGTCGATTCAATGCGAGAATTAAAGAAAAATACAAGTTTTGCTTCTATTATTATATGAGTGAGGGCAGCTTATTATATCATACCACACACAGATCCATCATAGAATTTATTCAAGATATTATTATTTATTTTCAAATGTACAAAAAAAAAACATGTTTACAGAGGAACAATGGGAAAAAGAGTTGGACAATGAATTGCAGGAATTTGAATTGGTTGACAATGGTGGGGCATCTAATGCCGACGATGCAAACCAAGGCGATGACTGGGAAAAAGACGCTGACGGATTACTCGACGATGAAGACGAAGAAGATCTTAAATAAAAAAAAACATTGAATTAAAAAATCCTCGTCTTTTGTTTAAGTAACGTTTATTTTAAAATAAATTGTTCGCATTATATTTGTAGGTTTCGACGGAATTTTGCAAAATTAGTGGACTTTTTTCTCTTTATGTATATTATGTATATCTCTGTTAGCGATTTTAATTTTGAAATTTTAAACAATTTGTTCTTTGAGGCCATTTTATTTATGTAGCAACGTTTAATGATCGAAATCTTCACCGAAAATCCATGCAAATTCACTTCATTTGAAATGTGTAACAAGCGGATGACGAAGATCGAGAGAGTGAGAATGAATGAAATCAATCAAGAATATACATAGAGTAACAAACAAATAAATTTCAAACTAAAATTGTACTTATTTGTGACTAAGAAAAAAAAAAATAAAATTTTGAATTCAAAACCAAAATATGCAACAGTCGAGTCCAACCGACAGCGCATAAGTGACAAATTATATTGTAATTATAAAAGGAAATTCAATAAAAATCAATAAACAAAAGCATTATTTGCGGTAAATATCCAACATTGTTTCTTATTCATTCAGCGGATATGTTTTGACTTGGTGAGAAAATTTACTGATTTTTTTGTTTTCTAAGAAAAAGTTTAGTTTTTTACGAGAAAACAAAGAAAAAAACGAAACAGTACAGAATGGTGTAGTAATCGAGATGATTCGGATCATGTAAGTTCTTAATCGTTCTTTACCTTGATTGAGGTTCTTTGATTGATTTAAGTTTTCAAACAAAATTGATATTTTGCCGATAATTTAAATTTCATTTCAATCAAAATATTTATACGTATATTTAAATAAAGCAGTTAAAAATATGAATTTCAATCATTGACTATACGATTTTCTTACTAATAAACGAATTATCAGTTTCAACTTCAAACTTAATTTTAACTCACGACTCAAAAGAAATTTGTATACAAGACTCGTATCGCTGAACGATTCGCTAAAATGGCTGAATTGAAATTTGCAATGTTAATAACGTCAAATAATTGTTTAAATTAATAAATCGTTTATTTAATTAGTTTATCTGATAAATATAGACCCCATAAAGTGCACGATCAAGCAGATTAAATATGTTTTCAGAATCAAACTTCATCATTTTAGACTGTATTTGCATTAAATAAGTCCCTATCAAGTCATCAGTAACTAAAAGTCTTATATTACGAAAGTAACATTGCGTATTTTTCCTTAAAATTCAAAAAATCTTCGAATTAATTGGTCAACAATAAAAATCTAGTATTAATATTTATCTAGTTTTGTGGTTTACTTTGGAAATTGATAAAAACTGTAATCAGGTAAATCAATCTAATTGCACACTTTCATTCAGATATATGTTTTACGAAATGTATGTTTAATAAATATAACAGTTGAAATGGATCAAGAAGTCGATCGGTTGAAACAAGAAGCTGCTAAAATAAAGCAAGAACTTGAAGATGAGTGGCTAATATTAGACGACGTTGGGCGAAAATATGAAGAAAGAAAGCGACAAATTACCGAACATATGCGAAGAATTGATCTGGCGCACGAAAAAATCGAACGAGCCTATAAAGCGTGTAAAGAGTATCAAAACTCGAAGTAGTCACCTATGCGAATGCTACTTAAGCCGACTATGCAAAAAATTTGATTCATCGACGACATGTATTAATATGACATTTTTCAGCATTATATAAAACATATAAATATGACCTTTTTTTAGCCATAAAAATCTCTTGAGTTTTGATTTTTTCCCATCTTTGAAAATTCATGAACAAATCACATTTTTAGAAAGGAACAATTGATTATTGACCTGAATGTTATCTTTTATATTTGTTACTGCCTATTTTAATTTGAAAAAGTTAGCAAGCAAACAAAAATTGGTTTTGAGAAGTCATCAAATCGCTGGGAAGCAGCATCATGTTTTTTGTCAATATTATTACATATATTATTAACTTAATAATACACCGCCAAAAACTGGCTGTCTTCATTTAATTCATGATAAGCAGTATTGGCAGGAGAAAGGTATAGATCGCATACATTTTTTGAATGATGTCCTTCGTTAATAGCGGTCACTGAATGTTGTTTTTGATCACATCGTAGAAAAACTAAATTGATGTATTTATTCGCTGCCGTTATAACGACGTAATTTCGAGATTTATAAGTCGTTGGTTATACTAGTTGATTCTAGGCGTTTTCATTATTGTAATGAATCATAATTATTTAATACTAGATTGATTTCATTAGTTCGGCTCAAAAATATTATAAAAATGAATGCTTGTAATAAGATTTTTCAATATTTTGCACGATATCGACTTTGAATGGATGTGAAACAGTTTTTATGGTCTCAATCAATTAGAGGTTCAACTGATTATCGGCAATAGGTGAGTCGCAATAATCACACTTAATGACACTTAAAACTAACTGTTGACTACTATCTAAGTAAGTTCATGTTGATTTGTGCACCAGTTCTCATTCATATAATTACGTACATTGACTTTTCTTTCATTATCTTAAATCAAATAAAAACTTAACTCGTATGGAAAACTTACTTCATTGTTTTTTTTTAATCACCGAATCCAAGTTTTTTCTTGAATTAGGATAGCTTCCAACAGATTTATTTTGATTACGTACGGATATCTTTAACAAGAATCAAATACCTTAACAGGGCCAGTAGCACTCCCTTTCCATGTAAAGCCGAATTATAACAAATATTTTTTATCATTTCCATTTGTATCTGTTTACTTTTGGATGGAACATGCGAACTTTCCGTCGAATGGATGGGAATATGTTCAGTTGGAATTGTTCCGCGGTGTCATTTATACATGTAAAGTAGAAACCATGGAAGCCAGCTCGAACAATTCAAAAGATTTCTTCATAGCTCGATTGTTGGTGGTAACGATTCGACAGTTCTTCAATAGCACCTCTTTACATGGATTCAAATACCTAATTAAACTTGGAATTTCAACTTTTGAAAAGTAAGCGAGAAGTTTGTTGTGTTTTTCTTTCGTTTTAATTTCAACTGAATTTACTCGCCAGATTACTTTGGTATGTGATTCAATTGTGCGCATTGGCCGGAGCAGGCTATATATTTCTATATGCTCTAGGTAACTTTAAATTGAGTTTTAATTAATAATTTTGTATATATTGTAACAATATTATTGTATTATGTGAGATGGTTTTGTGTCAAAGCCAACCGTAACGTCATTAGAAACGCTTGATCATCCCATTTGGGAGATTCCGTTTCCAGCTGTCTCGGTGTGTTCTGTAAATAAAATAAGTCGTAGTCGTGCCATGGAGTATGCAATTGAACTGTGAGCCACACAATTTCACTTTGAATAAAACAATTGTATAAATTTTATTTCGTTTCTCAATCCAATTAAAGTTCAAAGAAGACCAAAAATCACACATTCGATTGGTTATTTCGAAATATTCGACATTTGGGCTATACTTTGGATTTCAATACCGAATTTTACGACGAATACATAATTTTCCAAGATTTGCTCGACGTCATCGATATAAATAATCAAACAAAAGTCTATGATACACAAGAAAAATTCGAATTCAAGGTAAATCTAACGTGATTTAATGAGAATATCCGCACATTCTTGAAATTGAATAATAAAAGCAATGCTTACAGATTACTCCGAAATGTGAAGATCTGTTGGTTCGATGTCGATGGGGAAATTCACCACACATTGACTGTATGAAGTTGTTTAAATTCCGTAAAACACGCGATGGATACTGTTGCCTTTTTAATTATGTACGACAATTCAATACGCTATCAACACAAGAGTAAGTACTGCTTCAAGGTTGCATTATTTATATCCGGATACTCTAGCAAAATCCAATTTCGATCAAATGAAAGCATGTCGAGAAAATAAATGGAATGCTAATAAAGAATTCAGCATGTATGTAATTTAGTTGACAAAGCACAACATAATCATGATATCAAGTTATATACGGATACAAGTTAAGGACGTTTGACGAGTTGATTGAACAACATGCATGTCAGGCGAAACCTTACCGTGATAATACTTTTATTAACACATAAATCTTTTTCCCTTTTCAAAACTAAATTATTTACAAAAAAAAAAAGTGTTGAGAAGCCGCTCAAAACAGGATATACGGGTTCCGACGTTGGATTAACCGTCATTTTGAATACAACAACATCCGATTACTATTTCTCAACCGGTGATCATGTTGGATATACTATTCAAATATTCAATCCATCTGATTTTGCCGATGTGCAGAATGGAGGCCTTACACAATTGTTTGTCGACGCGAACACGAAAGCCAATTTCAAGCTAATACCCACAACTATCGAATCGGAATCTGCCATCGCACAGTATTCGCCGATACAACGCGGATGCTTATTTGAACATGAACTTTTTGAACAGTACGCCGGCCATTATTCGTTTGTCGACTGTCTCTTGAAGTGCAAACTACGCAGCATTATTGCAATGTGCGGATGCATGGTATATAAAAAACTAAATATATCATTTATATTTTAGATCTATTGATTCTATCTTTGTATAGCCATTTTTTCTACCCACAAATTTCCCGGATGGGACGTTCACACCGGTTAAATGTACACTCGCTCACAACAAGTGCTTGGAGCGCATAAAATGTACGTAATGATTAAAATTTATTCAATTTATCTGGCTTACATTGGTTGTATTTGCATAGATGTGATAAGCTCGTATACCATTCCAAACACTGAAAAGCCATCGGATGGCACTATAGAATGTTTGCAATGTCTGCCAATTTGTTCGAAAACAAATTTCCGTGTGGAAGCGTCCTATTATGAATTGGATAGAAATGGACTGAAAGAAAGTACCATGCCAATGTTGTAAGCTGTTGCGTTTTTCATACTCGTTTTGAGTTAATTTAGTTGAAGGATTTCTGTTCATACAAATAGGAAAAATTTAACGACCTTTGATGATATAGCCATTGTGCACATTTATTATCCACTAGTTGATTCAACATTGTTCAGAGCAGACGTTTTGATGACATGGCAGGAGATTGTCAGTAAGTAACAACAGAAACTGTACAATTTTATGGTGATTAAATATGGAATTTATATGTGCATTTTATTCAGGCAATTTCGGAGGTTTATTGGGATTGTAAGCTGTCTCGTGTTCTACTCTACTTGGAATTTCGGTTAATGGCATTCTTTTTATTTAAAAAAAAAATAGGTGTTTGGGATTTTCGTTAGTTAATCTTGTTGAGATTGTTTATTTTGCTACAATAAAACTGTATCAAAATATTTCCTTGGTCAATGGACAGCAAAAGATGAAGGCGATTCAACAAAATTCCAGATTAACGAAGGAAGACAAACGAATCCGTGAAATGTATGTGAATGACTTTAAAGTGAATGACATCAAAGTATTTCGTCATCGAACCTAAATAAAATGAATTTGATAATGTCGTTTGTAATGAGTCATTTTTTGGACCTGAAACTGAATTTAAAACAAAAAATAAAAATAGCCTATAAATTGATTGTGATGTGTTTTCAATTTCATCACACAAGCACGTGTTTCTTGCATGAATGTAACATGTTACGCGTCACATTCGCTGCGAAAACATTTGAAAAGAAGCAACAGCTGTTGTTTATAGACCGTATGACAGTTTGAGAATCACTGGTACGGTAAACTGACTCTCAAACCGAATGCGCGCACAATACTTAAAAATACACAACTCGTTGTGTGAGGGAAACGAGCAATGTTTCGAAGCGCTGTTGATTCAGTTGTTTTTTAGAACGTGCGGAGAAAAGAAGCACAAATGCGCCACTAAGAACTTAGTCCGTCGTATTTTCACTTCAATTTCATAAGAAAAACAAACTTTTTCGTTCCACTATTTGTGTTCTCATTGTATACATGTTTATTTCATATTTTTTCTGGACTTTTTCCAAATATCGGTTCACATTGTAACGAAAACCAGTGAATTAAAATCATTTTTTTTTTGCTTGTGATATTTTATCAAATAATACAGAAAGACCGGATTTTGACAGTGTTTACTAAGCAAGATAAAAAAAGACTTTAACAAAAGATTGACATTTATTCAAGAAAAAAATACAAATTCAGAATCTGCGCTAAAAAAAACCCACAAAATTTGATGCGTTTCCATTGTTGTCTTCAATAATATCAATAAAAGTATGTAAGTCAGTTAAATTCCATTCAATAGCGTCATTTCTTTGTGTTCATAGTTAGTGGTCTGGAGCAATGTGCGTTTTATGCACAAAAGCAATGAAGTTGTTTGCTAGAATTTCTGCACAAAATGAACAATAGAACGTGAAATACTTTGATTGTTATAGTTATATATGTGTGTATTTGTGTATATTCCGTATGTACCGTATTCAATGTTTGGTCAATCTGACAAAATTTCATTACATAAAAACGAATGAAACGGTTTTATGAAATTTTACGTGTTCGATTCACATTTGTGTGTTTGTTCTAGAGTCGTTGATTAGTTGGTGTTTTTACAATTGCACAATATGGTTTGTTATTACAACAACAATGCAGTGTTCGTAAATCTATGTTATGGACAATGTTCACTCCTGAAACGAAGCATATTCGACTTTTTCACACACTAACTCGTACATACCCGTCGCATAGAAAATAGAATATAGCGTACATATCGATCGGAAAACAAATATTGTTTTTTTATCTCTTATTGTTTTTGTTGGTAAATCGATAACGATACATGATGCAGTACGTGCCGCCAAGAGCATATAGCATATAGTGCTTGCACAATTGTACAACTATATAATGTTGAGTATTTGCCACAATGCGATACTTTATTATCAATTTCGGACGCGTCGATGGAAAATTAGATCGTTTCGCAATGTGATTGTTATTAATTCCCATTCAATCGGTCAACCACAACCGATGCGAAGACATGAACCGAAATAAGTCAAGGTGTGTGTGTGTGTAATAGTCGAAAAGTGAGTTTTATTTATCGGAATTTCAGTCTAAAAATCCAATTAAATTTCGAATTTTTCTTGTTCATTTATTTTTGCAATTCATAACTACAAATCAAAAAATTCGGTACGTATTTATGGTACAAGATTAGACACAGCAGGTTCATGGCGAAATAAAAATTGTGTTTGCATCTGTCACTATAGTATCTAACGGGCTCGGTCGATTAAAATAGAAAATTATACGATTTATAATCAAAAAAAATTGTTGGTTTTCACTATGGTCGGTTGCTTATACGTGCGTTTCATTGATTTTTCAATCTCGTTGATTTTATGCGCCGTTTGACATTCGATTGTTTATGAAAACCAGAACTTTGTTTTTATTTATGCAAATGGATTTGGTTGGATGTGTGCACGTGTTCTCTCACTTCACTTGTATTATGATTCGCATAAGCCGGTCGGTTGGTTTGTATGATTTTTATCGTTTGCTTTTTGCGTCGCGATCCATATACGCTGTCGAAGAGGCATTGAAATTCATAAATCATTTATATATCTCGTGATAGAGTTTTTCAACTTGTTTGCTTTCCCACTGGAATTCAGAACTTGTTGGATTGTTTTTTTTCCTCGTTTGCTGTTTTACACAATGTATCATCTTTTTAGATTTTTTTTTTATCTTTTTAATGCTCAAATAATGACTAGTGGAATTATGTTGCCAATTAAAAAAAAAACTAAGTAGGTTTAAACGCATCAATATATATGGAATGTTTTCGCAAAGTCTGAGTAATAAATTAGAAAATGAGTATGAAAAGATGACTGTAAATTACTTCAAATCAGACAAAATCCATTATTTATTATGAATATACTGACTGATTATGTGGCTGGTTAACGTACTTTTTATGTTTCACACATATTCGCAAAACATGAAATTCACTGTCTACCATTGCAATTTTTCTACAAAAAAAATGTACCGTGACCACAAGATACGACTACCATATATGAATTATGTACGCTATTTATGCGCGGTTTCTTTTGTTAGACACAATAGCCAGGCGTTAACAATAAAACTTAATCTATTGTTATCGAGGTTTAAAAAGTAGCACAAAATAGACGGAAAGTACATCGTCTTTACCCTTCAAGACGTCTAAAAGTAAAAGTTTTACAGAATAAAGAAAAACTCATTTCGAAAGAGCCGCAGTTTTATACACATAGAAAATGTACTTAAAATAAACGGAATTAAAATGAACATCATTAACATAGTATATTTCTCAAACCACAATTTTGCAAAAATTAACTACGTTAATGTGGTTGCATTCTACTAACTCGTTCTCCCTCTCTATCAGTTTGCTACTTCAATGCATTGTTTAATTTATCACTACAGTACATATACCGCGAATATACTGTTATAGATTAACCCAATAAATTAAATGTGTTTTAACATTTATGAGAGAGTAAAATGTCGAAGCGATTCATTACACTACATCATAAATGCATTACCGTCTAGATAATTCATTTCCTCACCAGTACATTTGAAAATTCTTTAAAGCATTTTAATTGCAATTAATGAAATGCTATTATTTTTCATTTTTTATTCTGTCATTTTTACGATATAGTTTTTGTTTATCGTAAACCAGTGATATCATCAGTAATGTATACTTATATAGGTCTGATCAGAACAATCGAACAAATGTATGCAAAAAGGAAACAAGTTATAACAAAGACTGATCTGAGGGTAAAATGATTTGTTTTAATATAAATAAAGCCGCAAACGGGTTAAATGAGTACAATCGTTCGCATGTACAACAATTGTACATTGTACACCAGAACAGAACGTAGCAAAGACAAAAAAAGAATTCCCATATGTATAAATGCCGTGATGATAATACGGGAATGCCATGTTCATAATTAAGTAGTTAGTAACGCTCGGCTAGCGGCATAAATGGAATTTTTAAACGAATAAAACATCAGCTCCAAAGGAAAAAATATAAGCGACAATTAAACAGTTTATGTGAAATCATACTCCTCATATTCACAAACATGCCGAGAGTTATTTTTTTGTACTGACTGTTATCAGTTGAATCATAAATGTAAATGTACACAATGTACTAAATTTTTTGTTGCCATTATATTGATAGTAAACAATTTAGCGGGAAGTGCACAGAAAAAGCGGGCGGATTCATTAATACGAAACCAGTTGTGCGATAAGATAAGAGGAATGGCCAGTGTACAGACGTAGTTTGTTTGCAAACAACATTGAAATATGACACACTGATGAATGCAATTCAATGCACTGTTGACAATGACATTTTACGATAGTTATACTGATGAGAGATGCAATACGATTGCAACATCAATATCAGTACGAAACAATTTTCATATCAGTGTTGTCGGAAAAATTTGTCGACTAAGCACTTTCAATTTTGCAATCACATGATCAAATGTCAATTTAAATTGTGAACAAAAACGAAAATCGTTTCGATTTCCGTCATTCAAAGCTATTTCCATCTTGAATAAGAAGTTATTAAGCTATTTAAATATTTTGGTCAAAATTCGGTGATAGAAAAAAAGATACTCCATTCTGAATTTAAACGAAGTCAACGCGTTTCTTTTTTCCAATCATTTGAAGGTCATAGAATACGAATGTTTGATATCGAACTAAAGACGTCAACACAAATGTGCACATATTTTGTTGTTATTTTTTCGAACTTTGATCAATCGCTAATATTTATTATACATTCAGTTGTCTGGTGGCGAATAACCCATAAAATTATCAATACTAATGAACTTTCGATTAGAGACCGTTTGGAAACTCCACGTCCGATGAAGAAGAACAAATTGCATATAAAAAATGAAGATTAAATTACAAATGTACAGAAAAAGTAATGGAAATAGCTATTTTTATCGATTGACCGTTATCAAATTAGAACGAACGATTTGTGTGCGTTGAAAACGACGACGACGACGACGACTACCAACTTCTTTCCGTGTTGTAAAAAGTCCGTCCATTTTTTCGAATTGCCCGCCGAAATTGCGCTGCCATCGTCAAAATAAAAATTAGGTTACCTGATAATGGAAGTCACATGCGTATGACCTGCACAACAAATTCAATTGTTAGTCGCGTAGCGCAAATTGAACGTCGCGAATAAATTTCAAGTTTTTTTTATCGCATTGACTGTGTGGCTGACAGGAATTAAAAATGAAAATCATTTTGTAAATGAAAAGGAAAAAAAGAAAGAAAAAACAAACAGCGGGCAAACACGCCATTCGTCACGCAAGCAATAGTGTGTTGTCATTTCCAGAGTACGGCCTCACTTGTTTTGCGGCTCATTTTCAGTTCAATTATCAATCAAACTTTCAATTCATTTTTATTAAATGCATTGCATTGCAAAATGCATTGCATACGCCTTAAGGTACACACGGTTTGTAAGGCTTCAAAGTACGGCAAATCGAGTAGAATTGTGTGTTTTTTTTCCATTGGTTGGAATTTAGCCAATTAAAATTGGTGCCAAGTATAACCAGCAAAGAACATTTCAGTGCAATAAACAAAGTTTTAACGGGCACATACCGTAACACACAATTAATCTCATATCATCTTTTATAACCGTCCGTTGACTAATAATTCTAAACCACACTAAGAATAAGAGAATTGAAGAAGCTACGAAAAAACGTCAAGCCATGCTGTTTGAATGAAGCATAGAATTTTGTTTTGCGGTTGTTTCAAAAGAACTGAGAAAAAAACCAGTGTTTACGTTCCTTTGGCAAAATGACCCAAAAATTTCCAGTTTTTGGTATAACCATATTCATTAGACAATTTTGGTTTTACCAAATCTTGAAATGAAAAAAAAAATCTTTTTCAACATTTTGAAAAGAACCTCGAAACGGATTGCGAAGAATACATTGTTCTTTTTTCAATTTCGCCTAAATCATTGCACATATTTTAGTTGAATTACAAATGTCAAAAATGCGAATGTTTCATGATCCTCCGCCGGCTGTTTACCTATACTATTGTTAATTGAAAAATGCACAATTGTGTTTGCCATATTTGATTAGAGTAAACAAAGGCCGTTCGATATTCGATGTTTGGCATTCGGTGAATACATTTATTGTTTAAAATTGATCAAACCAATTAAATTACAAGCGATCTAGACTAACCACAATAACAATAAAATAAAGTGTACCAATACTTTTGCACACACACAAATGTGTGCGGTGTATATTTGCAAAGGAACAGCAACCGTGTTAATAACAGATGCGGAGACGATAAAACACGCACCGTTGAACACATCCAATGAACGCGTCATTCTTTGTAATATAAACGACTCACTGAAATCAATGCGCTGAAAATTGGTTGAATCGACAAAATGTGCAACAGAGTTGTATTTTAGTTTTCAATATATATAGTAATGAAACTGAACGAAAAAAAACAGGTTTGGCCTTGAGCTTGTTGCTAGCACTTAATAAATTTTTTTCTTTTAAAACACTTTTTTTTTCTTGTGCAATGTATTGAAATTATAGCATTTAGATGAATATGCGATTAGTGTAATGTCCATAATTCGCATTTTCATTTTATAATAAGAGTGAATAGAACATTTGCTAATTTGTCTTTAGAATCATTCAATTTGTAGCAGCATTAACGGCCACACTGTGCTCATTACACCAGCTAACAATCACAATCTCCCTTGCCCTCTCGCTCTCTCTCCCTTTCTCGTTGTGTGTAATGTAAGAATGTAGTTTTGCTACAATTATCTACACTACCAAGTGACAACGGTGACAAATGATTCGAATGCAATTTTAATTTGTTATAATCAATTGCTACACGCAAGCAAATTGTGACATTTGAACTGCGTATTTAAAGCAACTGTCTGCTTGTGTTCTACTACTGTTTGTGCGAATGAAATCATATACGGTGCGACGCAAACAATAGACGGTTGCCAATTTTCTGGTGTTGGTTGCCGTTGTCGCACAACATATATCTACTTTTTTCGACTTTGACCTTAAGCGTTCGGTTTTGAATATGCGGAAAATGACAGGAAAGGAACAAGAATATTTTAACGAATTTGCGTCGACGACATCGACAACGGCATTGATCTTACCGGAAAAAAACGACAGAGAAAAATATGGCCATTTATTTTTATAATCTTCATTGTAAATAAAACATCGATATGGTCCTGATCCGGTTATTAGTGTCCGGTCAACTTATGACTTACCATATTTTTTTTATTGACTGATTCTCGTAAAATGGTCATCAAAATGTATAAAAAAAACCATATTGTTTAAGTAATGGAAACTTTTAGAATTCCCGAAAAGAAATTTTAACATCATCATCATTCTGACGCGTACAATTTTGTTAGCTAGCTATCTATATCAGCTATTGCTATAGGGATATATAAATAGCTGCTATTTAACGCATATCTTCGCTCGGATACTGCGTATACTCGACATAACAATGGTGTCATTGTTTTGAAATGATTTAAAACGTTAAAAATTTCAAACAACAAGATTATTATTATGTCCAGCATACACAGTGTCCAAGCGAAGAGATGCGTTAAATAGCAGCTATTCATATATCCCTATAGCAATAGCTGATATAAATAGCTAGCTAGCAACATTGTATGTTCTGACGAAACAAAAACCATTATTATCTTTTTGATCTAGTTGTGGAATTGTATATAAAAAACCAGAGTCGCTTTTACAAACATGTAATTTATACCATGAGAATTGTGGGTTTGATAGTTTGATGACGATATATGTTTTTGTGTGATCGAAATGTGTGTCGTGTGTTTTGATAGCGATGAACTGGAATTATAAATCGATTACGTAAGCCATTGTCCAGATATAGTATCAAAAAAATAAATAAAACTACTGTATTGATACTACTTTTTGGTATTGATTGAGGCAGATAAAGATGAGTCATTAGTCGTATGGAAAGCCACACAAATTACGATTTGTATAGCGATGAAATCGTATGTTGTACGATAAAAAGTGAAAAAACATGATTGTTGTGCCGTCATAGAAACTTACTTCATTTGCATCTGATTTGAATTTTGTGCGCGTACAAAATGCGGAATCAATTTATTCATTTCGCTATTTGATGTTTGTTAATTGTTCTTTGTTTATCGTGTCATACTTTTTATATACATATTAACACAGAATAATTTTTTTCCTTATTGTATGCAAAAAAAAAAAAAATTGAAAAATTGCAGCTGGAATGCTTCGAAAATCCCTTGAATATAAGCAAAATATGAATTTATTGGCAAATGTCACGAAAACACAGACAAATAAACAAACAGGCCACAACCATAAAGTCAAAGACCATTTTATCCAAAAATAAAATCCTGCAACAAAGAGAAAGAGAGAAAGAGAAAACCTGTACTGAAAGAATAAAGCATTCAACTCGCCATATTATTGTGTGTGCGGGTTTTTCGTTTCTATAAAAGACGCATTCTACATATCGTTGTTTATTCTTTGATGCAGCGAGATCTGTTATCCAAATTCAAGTTTTCATAACGCCAATGTGCCTATATACGTGTTACATGCTCGAATGTTGCAATGCCGAATGTCGAAACACGCATGAAGCAATACCAACTGCAATGCAACAGTGTCGAATGCACCGAATACAACAGAACAGAATGTCAGGTTCAGTGACACTCTCTCATATAGTAGTGAAAACATACAGCAAAGCTATTCTGTCGTTTATTTATAGTACAACTTGTTGTGTCTGTGTGCTGCAACGCTGAACACTCCTCACATTCTGGCTCAGCTCACATGCGAGAACTACGCGGCTATTGCATCGCAATCGATTTGTACTGTTGCCGTACGTAAATAGTTTGTCGCCGTCTTAATTCGATAAAAGAGTTGATCGACCGCACACTGGCTTCAGAATATTTGCAAAACTATTGAGCGCGCGCGGCATAAATAGAGATGCAAAATATTAGACAAGTCAAGCGTTAAATGTGTACGGTTCTTTTTTTTATTTCGAATATTTTAATCTCGTGTTTAAAAATACAACACAAACTGATCACTTTTTTTTTTCATTTCATCTTTTAATAATTAATCAACAAACATTTTTCAAATAGATGGTTTTTTTTCTATTCTGTTTATCTCCAATTTAGATAACCACTGAACCGCAGTAAAAATGAATTGAGTGCATACGATAGAATAATCATTTAAAGTAGAAGACAGTGACTCGTGTGTGTATATTTGTTGTTTTGAATAAAAGTGATAAGTGCGAATATGTCGGTCAAAGCAAGAGATGACAAACCGTCGACATCATCATCAATTGTGGTGGGATGTTGTCAATCAAGTTCAACAACACCAGAGAATTCAATCGTTGATTACATTGAAGAAGACCTAGAGGCACCAAACAATAATACCCTGTTCCATGCAGCGAATATTATTGAAAATGGTGAAAAGATACCCGTTGGCATTATTTCAAAGAAAAAGGCATCCATTGATTTCACATTTCCGAAAAGGCCAAAGGTTGATATCGAATTTCAAGATGTGCGATACACGGTTAAAACATTTTCATTTAAACAACGTGAATTTGGTGAGTAACATTTAAATTCATTGGAGTTCAGCGCATATACTATATAAATAGGTCATTGAAGCGATAATACGGGCATTTAACAATTTTTTTTTATCAACATTCTTAGTTTGTTGTGGAATTTCGCATTACGTCTCGTTTCATAATCGTATCATTCAACTTATTCGTTTCGTTTATCTCATTCAGAGCGTATTTTATTTCTACAGCATTAATTTGCTTTAATTATAATCGGGCTGGATTGTTACAAATGAAAAAAAATTAAAAAAAGTGCATTGGCAGCCAGTTAATTGAAGATCACATGAAAATTCTATTCCCATTAAAATGTATTAAAATTGCTGCCATTTTTGATTAAAACTGCTTTGAATGAAAATTGAGAGTGATTCTATTCTCCCTAAAATTCTTTCTAAAATCTAATTGAATTACGCAATCAGAAATCAGTAAAAATAGAACGGAATTAATTAAACAATTAATTGCACGGTGTAAAAGTGATGGGTTGAACAATTGAGCAAAATAAAAAAAAAGATATTTCGGTACAATTAAGGTATGATCCACGATCAGCATTGTGCTAACCGAATAAACGAAACAATTTAAGTAAATACATTCATTTTCATAACTACCAAACTACAAAATATGCAAAGTGAATTCATCATTTTCGAACTTTGCTCCAAGTAGTAAGTAATTTAAGCTTTGGCATGCGCGCCAATTCATTCCCCCCCATTGTTTAAATTCTACATGATAATAGAAACATTATCACTGGAATGATTATAATCGCAATATTCTTGTGTTATGACTAAAGCGTTTCATATAATAATAATTACCACAAAGTTGTTGTCTTTTTTTATTGTAAAAAAAATACCATTAATTTATCATTCGACGATAATTTAAAGTTATAAGCCGTTAAAATTAATCGCAGTCAATCAATCGTTCACAAATCAAATTAATGTCCGAATAATCTGAATCATCGTAATCAAAGCGAAATGTAAATTATTGTTATTTCATTTAAATTTAAACAGAGAAAAAAGAAATTTTGCATGGCGTAAGTGGAAGTTTTCGTTCGGGTCAATTGGTTGCAATAATGGTGAGAGAAATAAAGTTGAGTTTTAATGGAAATGTGATGAACTAATGCAATCTTTTAATTTATCACCATGATATGGAATCAATCATAGGGGCCAAGTGGAGCTGGAAAATCAACACTATTGAATATTCTCGCCGGATATGTGTTAGTACATTTCATTTTATTTTTAATTCGCATGTTGTGCATATCAATTTTTTGAATGAGTCAAACGTTTTTTTCTCGCACAGCGAAACGGGTGTCAGTGGGAAAATCACAGTAAATGGCAAAAATCGGTCGAGCAATTCAGAGAATTTTCGAAATGCATCGGCATATATTCATCAAGATGATGCCCTTCGTCCATATCTTACGGTGCGAGAAGCAATGATCGTTGCAGCACACTTAAAATTAGGATTTAGTGTTACCAAAGAGTACAAATTACAACTTGTAAGTGAAACAAAAACAATTATACATAAATGAGCACAAAAAAGTAAGTACGAATCGGTTTTTGTTCACAGATTCACAGCATATTGGAATTGCTTGGGCTGGAAACGCGATTCAACACGGAATGCGGTCGTCTATCGGGCGGACAAAAGAAACGAATGAGCATTGCTCTGGAGTTAATTTCGAATCCATCGAATGTTTTTCTAGACGAACGTAAGACAACAAAATATTTCTATATTCACTCAATTCCACTTTAATAATGCTTTTTTTCGCTTCTTTTTTTCATCTTTGCAGCAACAACGTAAGTGAAATCCAGTTTTTATTCAGCTACCTTTGAACTAGGAAAAGAAAAACAAGAATTAAAAAAAATTGACTACTTTACAAGTTATTTTAGCCGATCCCAGTTGAACTAAAATAATCCGCTCCCTGTTTTTTTTTGATAAATCATGTACATTGTTGTATTAAATCACGTATATTGTTATTTACACTTGTTTACTACAACATTTTATCATTTAGTTCCGTGATTCATAAAAAATATTCGCTGTTCGATTCTCTCTAAAAGTGACACACGGCGAGTGATCGGATTAATAATTAGTGTGGCCTACACTATTTTTTCCTGCATTCGCATGGAGTTTAATTCCTACAGGTTTTTGGGGTCATTGAGTCCAAATTAATGAGCGAATTTGTATGTATAGAATGATATCTCAAAAACCTGAGCCTATCGTCATACAATGACGAATTTCGAATGAAAAACAAAAATAAGTTTTTTTCAGACTATTCCAGAGCAATAAATAAGTATATGAAATATTTCGTTGATGTCATGGTGGTTTTATGGCTAATAAACCCATGTGTTTTTCCCTCAATTGATCTGGGGTTTGATCATTCATAAAATGAGCGTCATGCATTTTAATTAATTCATTAGTACGTGAAAGATATTTGATATGAGATAAAGCTATGTGGTTTGCAGTTAGCTTTGACCGCACTTGACTTTATCACTTTACAAAGTTTTATCAAATTAAAATATATTTTTATAATAATGCTGTCAACTGTGACCGCAATGTACATGTGTGTCGCTGAAAATATATTGCATCTCAATTTTTCTTCAAAACAATCTTATACCGTAGGTATTTTCGATTTAAAACCATAATTGCAAATCGAGAAACACGTTTTCCAGTCTACACACATTTTTATGTTCTACTCAAAATTGCAGCAATTGTCGTCGTACACACGACGCGAGTTCATGTGTGCAAAAAAGCATTGATGGTCTTGGGTCCGGTTATTGTATCGATTAAATCAAGTCACACGACTTGATTAAAATGATAGCCATGACATGTATTGTGTGATAAACAAAAAAAAAATAATCAAGTTTTAGCACACCTAGTTCAGCGAAATTCTAATACAAACAGACTTAGATAAAAACATTCATGCTTTCAATTCATTTTTTTTGCTAAAAAATGTGTCCAATAAAATAACGTCTGAATTGGTATTTTTGGCACAAAAACTAACCGGTCTTCAATACACTAGCTAATCAAGAATTGTGTTTGGAATTTTTTTCGTTTTGAAAAACAAAATCACATTTTTCACTCACGAGAGATTTAAGATGCCCAGACGTAATAAATTTAAATGATCCATTCATAAAATCGTTTGCGTGCTTTTTTTTTTCCACTTCTGAAATGCATATTTTAAATGTCCAATTAGAGTAGTGATTTAGTCAATTAGCAGATATTTGATTGACAATGCAACTGTAAAATTTATTCGTTTTTTTTTCTCACCTCATTTTCATATTATCTGCCAATTGCATGCAAATTAAATCGTTAGTGGGCTAGATAGTTCGTCGTGCACAAGCTGTATATCGCTTTTGAAACGATTAGCCCAAGAAGGTCGTACAATCGTGTGCACAATACACCAGCCATCAGCATTGGTCTTCGAAATGTTTGATAAACTGTATGCAGTTTCACAAGGCAATTGCATTTATCAAGGTCCCATCAAAGAACTGGTTCCATTTATGAGCGACCACGGTTTAGAATGTCCGAGCTATCACAATCCAGCTGATTTTCGTAAGTAATTCTATTATATATATGCATGTTGTGACCTTCATGTGTCATCAACGGAAGCGTCAAAGAAGAAAGAAAATAAAAAAATTACGAAAAAAAAAACAATTTCGTTTCCCTCTTTATTGCAGTTATTGAAATCGCAGTTGGCGAATACGACGTCGATATGAGCAAAATGATGGCAGGGGCTGTGAAAAAGTTCAACGAAGAGCGTGATACATATTATTTAGGCACATTTAGTAGAGATAATTACATCCTAGCCGATGCAGGTGCGTTGTCAATTCGCATGCCAATTAATCAAGGCTATGTGGTCTTAATAGCTGTAATTTCATTCGCGATAAATATTTACAGTTACTTTTTTTCATCTTAATTCAGCTAATTATCGCATAATTATCACGTTTTAAATTATTATGCTTCTTTTGACAATTTGCAGGCGAAAATTTTGATAATGGAAAGGTGGCTGTATATAAATTTGGCACTGTTGATAACAACAATGAGGATATTAATGTCAAACGATACAGAATATCCCGCGGATCCAAAGATGATGGCAGAAAATTCAGAATAAAAAATCCAAATGAACGAGCATCAATTTTTATGCAATTTTTAATTCTCTTTGAGCGAAATTTCAAAGCGAGCATTCGAAATGCAGTAAGCTATATTTTAAAAATGCTCGCATTTTTACAGTGTAAGAAACATATTAAAACTCCAAACATTTTTTTCTGTAGTTCTTGATATACGCCCGTTTAATCACACACATATGCATTGCTCCAATGTTTGGATACTTATACCATAATGTTGGCTATGATGCCACACACACATTCGGTAATTACGTCTATCTCTATGGATCCATCTTGCTTATTGTTTACACTGGGAAAATGTCGGTCGTTTTATCTTGTAAGTACCAGGCTTCTTTTGAAAATATAAAATGGTGTCCGCACGACATCACATTTTCATGACTAATTTTTTTCTTCACAATCTTAGTTCCGTTGGAAATGGAAACATTAAGGCGAGAGCATTTCAACCGGTGGTACAATCTCATACCGTACTATTTTTCAATAATTCTATTTGAAATTCCTTTCCAGGTGAGATTTTGATTTAGACTCATTGAATCTATTCTGTCTCGATGCGATTAAATCCAATAAACTAATGATGTTTTCAATATTACAGTTGTTGTGTACGTTCTTTTATGTTTGTGGCAGTTACTTTTTAACTGGAAATTATCTGGAAAACTACCGATTCGCATTGTTCACCACGATGTGTCTGTTGGCAACAATCTCAGCGCAAGCATGGGGTTTCTTTATCGGCTCAACAATGTCGATTAAAGTAAGAATGATAAAATTTTTATTTTCGATCAGCATAATATACTGATAAACATGATTTTTTTCAGATTGCCGTTTTCATCGGACCAATTTTGGCAGTACTGTTTTCCGTATTCGGGTTTTGTACGCGTTACGTGGATATCAATCGAATGTTCCAGTGGATGTGGCATATAAGCTATTTCCGTGCTGGTTTTCACGGAGTTTTAGATACTGTTTACGGTATGAATCGAACTGATCTATGGTGTCCACCCCAAACTGAGTTCAACTACTGTCATTTCCGTAAGCCTGACGTTTTTCTGCGCGAAGTGAGCATCAGCGGATTTGAAACTTACAAAAATATCTATTTGATGACTGGTGTCATTATTACAATGCACATATTAACAATTCTCACACTGTGGTTCAAATTGAATAAGCGATAAACAAAAAATCATTAGTATCATAATAGATTGTCCATAACGCAACGCATCACATAAATCAATTCCATTGCACATTGTTTAGTTAACGTAGTGATTCCGATTTGAATTCAAACAAAACATAATTATGCACATTGATGCATGTCACAACATATTTTTATGTAAAATATTTCATGGTGATAGAAATTTAATTTGTAAAATTAATTGTAATTTTGAAAGCAAATTTTTAGTGATAAAATTACTTGCAGCCTTTTGTGGATATATCCACTATAGTGAAAAAAGATCTGAAATCATTTAAGAAAAAAAATGTTTTGAAGATAAATGGAACGAATGATGCAATTAATTCGTAGTAGATTCGTTCTTTTGTACCGCACATTTCATCCCTTATATGTATTTTTCTATTTAACGTATAAAATAAGTAATAAAAGTGGTTGGAGAAGCATTTTCATATACAGTACAAATATAATTGGTTTTTTTGTCATAATGTTATTGGCACTGCCAGTAAGTACTCGTACGATTTTTACTACCCGGATTAGAAGAACGCACGCTTCGTGTACACTCGGCACATCTTCGCTGCTTAGGCGAATATCAGCAGTAGAATTCACTGCGATATGGTCAAAAAACATCAAGCAGCCATATATGGCTTTACATATATGTAAATGATCATTTACGATTCATTCTCTTTTGTGCGAACTTTCTTTGACTGTGTATGGCTGTGAGCAAACACATACATTAGATGCACGACAGTTCGCAGTGAACTCAACGGCTGATATTCCGTAAAGCAGCGATGATGTGCCGAGTATACACGATGCGTGAATTGTTCTAATACGCGTTACTGAAGTCGTATTGGCTTTAAACGAGTAGTACTTACATTTTTTTTGGAGGTTTTATCATCTCATGGATCACAAACAAGTTTCAACTTTGAATCAAAAGTAAGTGTTTAGTCTGCGAATACTTCGAATTGCGCAGTTTCAAAAGTAAAAAAAATCCAGACTTACCTCAATGAAACACCCAGTCGTTCGTTAATTCTAGTAGTGTTCAGTTGATTTTTCGAGATCAAAAAAAAGATATGTCAGGAATTTTATGTCAGTTCATCTGTTGTGTGTTTTTTATTCATCTTTTTTTTGTCGGTGTTTTATCTACATCGTTTAAAAAGAATGAGCCGCAAAAGGCGCAGCATTCTCCATGTTTGGTTTTTGTTTCTCATACATTTTTTTCATTATACAATTTCCTAGTTTTGTTTCCTTATTTTTGTTTTGTCAATAACAATAGTTTTTTTTTTTATTTTAAAAAAATTTGCTAATCCTCGTCAAATGTTTGTTTGTTCATAAACTCGTCAAACGAAAGTAATAATAATTGTAATAATGTTAGGTACTGTGGCTATTCTATCCAACCACATGCTAATGTGATTTCTTTGATTTTGTACATTATTTCGATATTTAGTCTAATTTTCTAATTTTTCTACATTTGTCGATGTGATCGATTCTCTTCGGAGCGATAGTCTGTACAAAATGTAAAATTTTCGTTAAAAATCTAATAAAAATTGACTCATTTGGTCATTGATTGAGGGGAGAGAGGTCATGGCGCACACATTTAAAAATAGTCATCTTCATACAATTGTGTGAGTTTCGGATGAGCATTGGGATCACACACTTTACCAAGAATTAGAGATTGTATAACCCAAACTGTAAAAAGAAATAAAATATATTACAATAAAATCCGCTGAATAAACTTTTGCATTTGAAAAATTCATTCTTACCTGTTGATACGATTGGAATGTGGAAGTTTTCAGCATATATTTGATATTCCGGCGGAAATTCGTCGTCGAGTAAAATATAACCCTTTGTAGTTGCAGTGATATCGTTTGTTGATTTAACGAGACGAATTTTGGCCCCGGCCGATTTACAAACTCGAGACCAAAATTCAACAAAGTCACTTTGTTGGCTATTGAGAATGAATAAACAAAACAAAAAATGACGATTAGAATAGAAAAAATGATAGAATTTGAATAGAATAATCATCGGATATGCGAGCGCACCTTGTTAGAATGATTGTCGTTTTGTTGAATGCATTTTTACGTTGATCACGTCCGCGTCCAATTGACCATGGCTTGTATTTTGATTCGATAATTGACCATCCGGACGGCAGCACGTATTCATCTTTGTTCAATAATTTATTCCGTTGACAACTCTCGACTATCCATTCGTGAGACACAGCCTATGCAATTTTGCAATTTTTTTTTAAATGTGATTTTATTCAAGGTAGAAGGTGTGTTAAGCTTACCGTTATATTTGCTGCCAAACACTGAACATACTTGGCGGTTATACATGGAAATGGTGCAAGTAAGAAGCAATTGCGATACTTATTTGTCGGAATATTTTCAAAGTTTGAATATACAGTCCCGCCGGCTGCTTCGATTTGCTGCTTTAAATAGTCTTTGAAGAAAGGTACCGATGAGAAAACTGTATTTCTATTGCTAAAATCATATCCATTGTGTCGAACATTCTTCATTCAAAATTTGTTTGGGAATTTCCATAGAATCAGAAGAAAAAGAATGAATTATATGGCATAAGAATTGGAAGGAATATCGCCAGCGCCGAAAAGTGTCCGTAAGAGAAGTTAACATACTTGCCGTTCGTTGGTGCCATTGGTTGCCGTCTTAATTGGAATTGTGCAGGTGAGCAGAAAACTTTTATTTTTCAAAATATTCGTTTGATTTATCGGACCAAGCACATTGTCCAAATTGACTTTTTTAAAATCGCTGCCAAAACGTTCCATTAAATAGCAAATTCCTGATACGCCATACCACCAATCAATGCAAACCAATCAAATATCATCGTCGCGTGTGACCGATAAGCAAATAGAGAGAGAGAGATAGAGATAGAAAAGACATTGAAAGAAAGAGAAAAAAGCGAATGAGTGAAATTGTTTGTTTGCTCTCCGTTCGATGTTCACACAAAAATATAAAATAAATGATAAATTGAAATAATAAGAAAATTTAACGAATATAAATAAAACAAAACAAATAATTCTGCAATCAAATTGAAGATGACGACTTACTGACGAGTTCGGATTCTTTTTGAGTATGCTGAAGTTCTGGTTGAACGCCATCAACCGCTTCTAATACCGTAACAGGGCTGGCTGGCCTTGAATCCGATTCATTAATATCAGATACATCGCTTTCAGAAAACCATTGCACGTGACGATTTGTTTCCGCTCTGAGAGAGCCACATTGTGAACATTACATACATAGAAATTTCAGAGGCACATAGAAAAAGAGAGAAAAAATCATGAGAAGAGAGCATTGGTGTGAAATAAAGGCAAAACAAGAAACAAAATGAATCCAACAAAACCAAAACATAATCGTAATCTAATCATAGTCGCACTGCCACAAAATCAAAGTCCAGTTAATTTCGGTCCGGGCTCGACAACAACAACATTGACGACGACGACGACGACGACGATATTTGATTGGCACTCACATTGTGCATTTTAATTTTTGGTGGGTTGAATATGACGAACGAAAAACGCATCAACATTGGAACATACACATAGAGACACATGCACACAAGCAGAGACATACACCCAAGTGTACAGCTTAAAAAACCCTTCGAATGACCCCTGCAAGTATTATACCTATTTTAAAGCCAATCTACATGCATAACGGTTACTTTGTGTATTTTATTATATATATTTTATTGTTTGTATTTTATTAATAGACAAAAAAATGTTAAGTGATTGATTTTATTCTCATTATTATCTTATTTTTTAGTTATGGTTTCTATTTTATTTTTTTTTTATTTTTTTTGAGTAAATCGCTTAACAATCCTCAATCAAATGACATCGACTTATGGATATATTAATTTGCATTTTATCAAATAAAATTGGAATTTACTTTGAAATGGCACCACCATTTATAACATTGACCTATATATATAAATGGCGTTACGTTTATATTTGTATGTCATTTTGTCATTGGATTTTTAAACATCTAAATAGTTAGATGATCGAAATTCCACAAATTGTTCGCATAATGAATCTCATGCACACGATACTGCACCATCTAAGCTGCCGTCAATTTAATTTTTTTTTTTTTTTTTTTTAATATTCTCTCTTTTCATTCCATCGCATTTAAAATCCATAATTATTTCTAAATCGTATTACGAGACTCATTATACGGTATATTTTATTTATGATTCAATTGTTTTTCTTGCAAATTTTTAACTAAATCTTATCAAAAGTTTGAGAAACATTTTTTGCATCGTTTGTATGAATCCAATGAATTTATTGTATATAAATTTATCAATTCAACATTGATTTTTCGCGATGAAAATGTTTGTGCATTAGCATCTAAATACATATATCCGTTTTTTTTTTTTTTTTTTTTAAATGTTGTATTCATAAAATTAAATTACTATGATGTAGTGTGGAAAAGCGTGTGCTTTTTCATTTTAGCTTTTATTTCATGTGTGTTGTTGCTTTGATATATGCATAGAATACAACATGTCTAATTGTTCATTTGTTTGTCACACAAAAAATCCTTTGGACATTACAATACAATTGTAAAACAAAAATGACTTCAAACGGGATATTAAAAATGATATTGGGCTTGTTACAATGTTTTTGAAAAACTGAAAATTCGGAACATGTGTATAAACGGATTTATGTTTTCATGTTTGGAATATATAAATAAATATAAAAAAATAAATGGTACTGCTATGATGAGTGGCGAATGAATTGAAGATGACGTCTTACTGACAAGTTCAGATTTGCTTTTGGGGTTCGTTGAAACTGTGCAACAAAAAAAAAATATTTGCGTTTTTGATCGATTGTTTGTTTTCTATTTTTTTTTTTTTTTTTTTTTTAGTTTAGAAGACGGAGGAGGAGGTGTAGAAGGCTATGGCATTGGTCATCTTTTTGACGATTGCTTGCAATTTTATCGGGGCTTGCTCACTTTTGCTATCGCGTCTATCATGAAATTGTGTCGCAATTCCAGCCATCCAACTTGTCCGTTTGCTCTAGTGGGAGTTGACGATCTTGAGGCGATTACGTGTTCAAAGAAATTTAATTTTAAAACACAAAAAAGTTTCAATTGTGAAAAATTGGCAACTGTTGTGCTCAAGAATAATAATAATTTATTCCATAGAGACAGAGAAAAAAAGAAAGATGTTGGTTTTGTTGAATTTCTTTTGTCTATGTTGTTTTTACGCTTTTAACACCAATGCTTTATTTGTAAATAATCAGATCTAACATATGAATCGTGCTATTTTGAAGTTATTTAACTGTGAATTGCTGAATTTAAATTGACTGATTTCTATAATTATTAGTTTTTTTTTCTTTCTTCACAAAATCAATTCAACTCAATACAATTTATATGTATGTTTTGTCTATTGTACTTATTGTCCTCCCAATTTTAAAAAGGATAAAAACACATTACTTGCTAGTAAAGTAAATGTAATATGAAGATAATGAAAATAGAGAGAAAGAGAGACCGTGTAATTAATTATTGGGGGCCGTAAAAAAAAGGTTGTATTTTTGGTTTTCGAAAAAAGGAAAACCGTTGTTAAAAAAAAATCGTTACTATCGGAATAACGTAAACAAACGTTATGTGCAAAATGATTGTTGTTTCTGTTCATTTTCGTATTTAAAAATGACAATTAATTTTAATGGGAAAATTCTGCTTATGAGTACCTCTTATTGCGTCGATCTTTTCGGGTGCTGGAGCCGCCAGAAAAGCCGGGCTCTGGATTATTTGTTGCCTGTTTCGATAAAATCACTTTGGCTTGTTCTTCTTCCAAGTAAATGTCCGATGCTGTTACCGTAACCGTTGTCGATTCACACAATACCGTATAGTAAACACCATCGTCTTTTGTTTCCACTGATTGAACGTTACCCGGTTCATATGTATCGCCATCAACTAATGCATGCACATTTTCGTTGACCAACGGCAAAATATTCTCTTTGCCAAATAAAATGTGCTCTTCGGGCAAAGTTTTCTTTGCACCGTCTTCAAACAAAACAACATATTTGCTGTTTGGCTTTTGTTCAATTACACGACCCGCGTAGAATTTTTTGTCTACCCATCGGGCGAGCACCGCTTTTTCAGGATATTCGGATTCGGCTGCGGCCGCTTTTGGAGTGGTTGGCTCCTTTTTAGCTTTTTTAGCTGACTTTGGCTGAGACTCTGAATCGGTTACTGGCGATTCTGGTACTTCTACGGCAGCGCCACGCTTACGTTTCGATCCCGTATTTGTGACCAATGGAGTTGATGGTTCCGATTTTTTGCCACGACCACGACCACTTGTTGCCGGCGTTCTTTGTACCGTTTCATTTCCAGTCAATTTTGAACGAATCTAGAACAAATAAAAAAAAAACAATGAAAGATATTTTCAATTGTGAATTTAAAGCAAAATGAAACGTAGTTGATTGGTTACCTTTTCAAAATGATCAATGATGAATGTACAAAGTTCCGCAGTACCTTTGACTTCTTCTTTGATTTCTGTTGTGTTCAATTGACCTGATGAACTATTTGTGCCTTGCCTTTTCACGCTAAAATAAACCAATTCCGAATTATCGTAGGAAACATTCACATCGTATGTGCTTTGTTCTGGTACAATTTTGGCAACTGAAGTCTTGGGTGTTGTTGCTGTCTCAATCGTCGCAGATGATGAATCAATTATGTCTGATTTTGTGGGGCTCTCTTTTTTGCCAATTAATGCATTTATTACATCCGATAGACCGTTAATGTTTTGCGTATCCTTGACATTTGTCGACGATGACTCCGCCGGGCATTGGCCTGTTTAATCAAAAATGAAAAGTTTTACAATTATAGTTCGAATCGAATATAAATAACCAACCTGAAAGGTCCGATGATTTTTCCACGGTTGTACTTGAATGAGATGAAATGATTTCTTGTCGTGAGGCTTTGCCGCCGAGACCTTTATGAGTTTCGTTTGAAGCCACTGGATCGCATTGCTTTTGAATTGGCGGTCCATTATTGATATTCGATTGTGTAGTGGAGCTGCTGCTCGGCGATGTACTGCTGCTCACACTTTTGAGCGGTTTATTTTCAATTGATTTTGCTTCAGATACATTTTTTGATACAGCATCACTGGTGTCACTGGCCGACACATTAACACTGCTGGATATGTCCTCATCGGGCTTATCGCTTCCAGCCAATATGGAGACAAGGTCGTTATTGTCTTTAATTGCGTCATGTGATTGCTGTTTTCCTTTACATGAGCCGGACGATTCGATGCCGTTTTTCAATAAATCATTATCATTCTGTGAACTAGCAACAACCGCTGCAGAGTTTTCAGCTTTTGATAAGTCATCGTTTTGTTTGTCATCGTCATTAGTGGAAACGACATTGTCGTCCCCGTTAAACAAATTGCTAATGTTCTTTTCAACATCATCAATTTTTTGTTCGGCCTCATTGGCTTGTGAAGCAGTCGCTTCAGAGATAACAGCAGCAGCGGCTGGTTCAGCAACGCCCGTGAGAGTTATGTTGCTGCTATTTACTGAATCAGCTTCTACATTTTTTGTTTCACTCTTTGTGGTCGTGGTTGTTGTTACCACTTGTGGTTGCTCTTCGACCAAAGATACATCTTTCATTTCACAATCGGCTTCTGCGTCGGCCATTTCAATATCTTCAATTGAATTGGCTTCATTGACCGCGTCCGATTTTTTCAGTTCCTGTTCGGCCTTTTCAATTGCACCTACTGCAGCTTCAGCTATACTTGATACTGACGAAACAACTTCACTTATACCCTGACCGCCTTTATCCACCACATCAGTGTCCAATTTGACTTTGGTCTGTGTTACATTCACTGTAACTGTGGTCGTGGTTTTGTTAACAGCAACAGCGCCAACCACATCGTTTGCTGACGAATTATTAAGGGCTTTCAATTCGCCCGTTTTTACAGCTGCATCGGCCAATTTATCATCTAAATTTGCAACTTCGGCACTTTTTATTGTTTCAACTATCGCCGCTGTGTCAATTGAATCTGTTTTTGTTGTTGTGATTTCGGCCGGTTTTGGTTCATCGACTGAAAGCAAAGAAAAAATGGAGAAAAAATACTCAGAAAAATTCACTCAAATAATTATCCAAATCAAATGTTAAGAAAATGTCATCAAATAACAAAAAAAAAAAACATAAAATTTTCTAGAAATTTATTTTTATACATTCTACCGCATGGACGCACGTTTAACATACACAGGCAAACACTAAAACATGTATCTGTTTTTGTATTGAATGAAACGGAATGAAGAGAAGAAAAAAAAAAACCCGCGCAATTGTAGTGATTATAAATTTTCCGGTTTATTTTGTATACACAATATGTTCATCTTGTTCTCTATGCGCACAATTGTGCGTTTGTTTTATCATAAACAAAATGGAAATCGATGTTTGAACGATTTTAAATAATACCACCGACTATAAAAATGATTTCGAATGAAAAGAGATAAATTTATCAAACTGCTGGTCATGCAAAAAACACATGGATTATGAGTGTAACGTTACAATGGAATTGAAAAAAAAAAATCCAACAACAATAACGTTCATACACACAATGAATTTTAAAGAAACCTCTCTCTCTCTCTCTCTCTCGCTCTCTTTCTGCCGGAGAGAGAGAAAATGTTGCGTTTCATTAAAATGTGTCACTTTGTATCGCACACAATCCGTAAATATCGTTGTTGTACTATTTTTTCTTCTCTTCTATCGACTGAATTTCTGTGAGCCGGGCGCAATAAAAATGTAAGCGATACAACTGCACCGTTTCGAAATTAAATGTGCGGCAAAGCAAAGAAAAAAAAAATGAACATGCTTTCGGTGAAACTAAAATGAAAAATAAGCGCAATACCTTTTGTGGTAACCACTGCTGCTGCTGTACCATTCTCGTTATCCATTTTGGATTCGGTCTTCTTCTTCTTCTTCTTTAGATTCTACGTTTGTCTTTTCACGTAACTATTGAACAAATAACTACATTCACGAATGTCTATTTTTCGCACTTTTTCGTGTAAATTTTTAATTTAGTCGTCCAAAAAAAAAAACTCTCAGTTGCCAGGTAATTGAATTGAACTGTTTTAATACTAAATTGATTGACCGGCGCTTTTGTTATATAGACCTTTTTCGAATTGGATTTGCTGCGACACACGAAATGTACTTTGTCTATGTAAAACACGGTCTTTGAATTTGCACAGGCACAATTCCACGCGCGTTTTGTCACCAATTTTTATTTGTTCTCTGTCTTTGTCTTGTTTGTCGTCGTCGTCGTATTGTTGTTTCGATCGATGCAAGTGCGTTGTTCAATTTAAATCTCTTTTTTACCGATTGCTTCAATTTTTTCTGCAGCCTTTTTACGCTCTCGTCGCGGTATTGTCGGTGTATGTTGTCGAAAAGAAGTTTATTCAGTATGTAATGCATAGAAGCGGCATCGATCTTACACTGTTTTTGCTTGTTTAACTACACCGAAAATGACCTGAAGAGTCAAATCAAATATGGCGTCGACGCCATTAAGTAAATCAACGTACTAGATTGTTGTGTGGCTCTCAACATACAACTATTCAAATCAAACGGTTAAATTATAAAAATTATTATTTCGTTTTGAATGTTTTGAAGTGAAATGCACATTTTTATTTTAGTGATTAAATAAAATTTAAATAATTGTACCATTTTTTATGCATTTATTTCATGACATAAAACATTCTGTGAATTTTAAATACAGATTGTTTGAAACAGCCAAACTCATCCAATTAAAACGTATTTACTTAAGTAGACAACGTCGTAGTAGATGGCGTCTATAAAATTCAATGTGTATTTGTAGTACTACAATGGATTGAGTCTTTAAACGATTTAAATTGTTTTTACATCTATTCTTTCTTTCCATATGAGCGATGTTTGTTGATTTATTTACAATTTACACAACAGACATTAAATTTGTGATAATATCATTGCAATGTATATGTGATTTAATTGTTGTTGTCGCATTTACGCATGAGATTGAACATTTGCCGATAAAGTCATGTCACTGGTAACTTGATTTGAAAATGTGCTTATCATGCTTATGGTAAAATTGATGTTTTTAAATACTTTCTTTATGGTGTTTTTTTTCTGGAACAAAACAATACCCACTCATATATATTTCGTAATAGAAAAATATTCAACAATTGCTTTGAGAGAAATGTTGCACGCAAAATTCACAAATGTAGATGATGTTAGATTTCATTTTTAGATCATTTTTTGCCGACAAATTCTTTCTGAATAATTTCCATATAAATGTTAAAAATTGCGATAAACAAATTAATTTCTGATGTATCAAATGATTTTATACCAAAAATTTGGCATTAGTTCTATTTTGTGTGTGTAATATATATCGGCCCTGTGGCCTAATGGCAAGGCGTCGGACTTCGGATCCGAAGATTATGTGTTCGAGTGTTTTTTTTTATATTTTTGCTGCACTAATGGCCATTCGTCCAGCAAAAAAGAATTTAATCTTCGTGTTTTTCCTATTGAATTTGATTTAATATTACATCGGTCATGCTCCAAACAACACAAGACTCGAAAATATAAAAAAAAAAAAGACGACCCCGAGGGGACTCGAACCCCCAATCTCTGGATCCGAAGTCCAGCGCCTTGCCATTAGGCCACAGGGCCGATATATATTACACACACAAAATAGAACTAATGCCATATACGTGAAATAGAATATCTTCGATGAATGCCATTTAATTTGTTGATTTCCTTTTAAAACGTGGGGGTTTTTTTGGTACGGGATCGTTGCTTATTTTGTTTTAATATTAGTTTCAAAAAAGGTGTTCACAAAAAATTATTCAAATGATGTTGGAATCAATTGAACATTATCTCAATCGCCTTACTTTATTTGCTCACCTTCAAAATATTCTCTTAAAAATTCCACATTTGGTCAATGAAGATCTTTCTTCACTCTTTCATCATGACGAAATTCTTGTAAATAAAATAATAAATAAGTCAAACAGTGGGTTGAAGAGTTTTGAGGATTTTTTTAAAATGTAATCTTCATATAAGATTTTTTCTGTGTTTAGAATTTTATTTTTAATCAACAACGGCAATTTGACGATTCGAGCCGTTTTGACAGCCTCAATGTGTTTTGTAAAAACTGGAAGTGAGACTCTTGGTTATTTAATAAATCGGCAATATCGTTTTTATGTTAATATGTAATCGAGTCACAACAGCAAACTTACGATTCTATGACTTTTCAATTCCTTGAAAACCCAATTTTTAATCTATAAATAATCACTAAAAATAAAGGAAATTCGAAAGGTAGTAAATGTCTTGCTTTTTCTATTAATCAATGGCCGGATCAATCTGAATTTATTGCTCTTTATTTAAATGATTGCCCCACTTCTATATTCATTTACTCACTTTTGGAAATCGTTGTACCCATTTCTACTTCTTCTTCAAATCTTTTACCGATATAATTTATCTCTTTGCAAGAGAAGATATTCGTCTTCAGCGTGTAATTAAATAAGAAACATTTCTTTCATAAAATAGCATTTCACCCTAAAAAAAAATGTGGATAAAATTGAATTTTAACATGTCACAAAGTATGCTGAAAGTGAAAATTTCCATTGTCACATCCATTCAGGATTAATTTCGACAAATTAAAAAAATGAGCACAATAACCCTTTAAATACCATGGATCTAGTTCAAAAAATGTTTCTTCACTTATCATATTTTTCTGATATCACCTAACGTCCAACTGCTTCTTCATTCGCTTCGGTGAGTTCATTTTATTAAAATCATCAAATAAATATGTTTCAATTGGAATGTTTCTAACAGAATTTACTGACATAAGCAAATAACTATCGATAATTATTTGAACATTTAGTTTTATTTTATTTCACACAAAAATTAGAATTGACAATATATCACCACTTACAGAAGCTATTTCATTTCATTATCATTTTATTTTACGAAAAATATTGGTCAACGGTTTGTTTATATTCCATAATAATTTCAATCGTCTATGTTTAATTTACAGTTTTGTTTTAATTATAACTATTTTTTGTTAATAAAAAACATTTTCAAGATGAGGGTGAACCATGTGCAATTTTTTGCTAATAATTATTTCATTCCGTTATATTAACATTTCCAATATTTTGTATATCTCTATTACTTTGCTCGAACTGAATTAAAATGATGAAAAAGGTTACTGACGCGGTTGCCATCTGCAACGAAAATTATCATTTTCATCAATGAATTTTATTTTTTCATCAACAAACCAAAAAAAATATTTCTAATTTTATTTTAACATCATAATGAAAATACTTACTTTACAGAGTAAATCGAGGTCCACACTAAAATATCCATTTGCTGATATGACAAATTGTTCATGAAGTACATGTAACGAAAATTCTCGAATCAAATTATTTTGAGCCTCATTGTCTCTGTCAATTGGAATTCGAAGAAGATTTATCTCAATGAGACGTCCCTGCCAAAGAAAGAAAATTCGATGAAAAGTATTTGTAATGACAAATCATTTTCAGCTTACATTTTGGAAGCAAGACGAACAGTAGAAAGCTAAACTTCCAAATACTGTAACAATCAATACCAAAAAAAAAAATGGATACTATGAGTATTTCAAGGTCCGGCAGACTGAAATAACCCCAATAGCTATTTGTAGTAAAATTAAGTAAGTTTTGTACAGTTATTGCCAGCAAAGATGTTCCAAATATTTGATTGATTAATTCACATGATTCGTTTAGATCTTCGTAT